GTTGCTTCTTCTCAAATTTGACAGATTTGCCTTTCAGAACATCCTAGAAGGTTCAGCTGCAATCTTTTTATTCTATACTGCACAATGATTTCTGAATGAAGTGGCTTGACCAAATTTCTTTTCTTTGTAAGCAGTTATGAACATCCCAAGATGGAGAATAGAAAATTTGGTAGAAATAATTTCTTACAATTTGTATGAATAAGAAATAATTCTTTAAAATGGTTATGCACCTCGAAATAATTTCTGAAGTACTGTATTTAGCAATTTCTTTGTCTGTCCATCCTTCTGTTTTAAAAAAAAATGGTTTCTGAATGATATCTTAAGTATCCCTTGATTGATAGCAATGAAACTTGTATGAATAAGAAATAATTCAGATTTGATATAAGGGAAGGAAGCCTGCTAAAAAAAGACTGAAAATTAAGAAAAAATATGTTGTTGTTTCTGGGTGAAATTTTGAGGTACACTTGTTGGGTTTTAATATTTATAAATACTTATACCAGTGGTTGAAAATTGAAAAGGTAGGAAGCCTATGGATTTTAGGTCACTTTGTAAAATTCAAGGTCATTGTTGCTAAGGAAAGCTGTTAGTATCTGAATGTGTCTCAACAGTCAACTTTTCCTGAATATTTTAACTAGGCAAGTGCTTCCATACCCAGTTGGTTAGCCAAGGTCAGGGGAAACCCTGCCCAATTTGTTTTAAATGTATCCCCAAAAAGGGTTTTAATGTACTAGTATATTGGTACTCTGGAGAAAGAATTGGTAACAATTTTGGTTTCTAGATATCTGACTTTTAATACTCCCTGGAGCATTAAGTCCTAGCTTAGTCATATTATTTTTGGATGATTATTTGAGCTGTAACACATTTTTACAGGTGAAAAATGATCAATAACAGTACATGTTTTATTAGTCCCTTCAAGCATACTAGTATTTTGAACCTGAAATAAAAATAATTTCTCTCATTAAATGTCCAGCTTTTTACTTGTTACAGGTTTTTTTAAGTGTATAACTAAAAAATTTGTAAGGGTTCCGCTGAACCCAGTGTCTTGCCTACTTTTGCTGTTGTCTATGTCTTCAGTGTGATAGGGGAATACACATAATAGATTTACAGTTAATGAAATAAAGCGTTTGAAATGTATGAAAAAAGTTATGCTTGTAAAAAATGAATACAGTATGCAATCAAATGTATAGATTTATAAAAGAGTTGAAACATAAATTTATTGAATGAACAAATGATAAAGAAGATAATTTTTACATTTTCCTCTAGAAATCATTTGATTATAAGAAGCTTCTGTCCAAGTGTGGTAAAAATCAAGGATGGTTTATGAATCTAATAAATGTTTTAAAAACTTTAACTGCAGACTGTATGTAATGTTAAGTGGAAGAAAAACTAAGTCCATTTATAAGTAATATACGGAAAAACAGGAACTAAATTTTTATTAAATTTCCTTCTAGATACTAGCTTTTGATCATAAACAAGCTTCTGTCTAAGTTTGGTACAAATCAAGGATAGTTTATGAAAGTTATTAAAGTTTTTAAAACTTGAACCACAGAGTGAATGTAATGTTAACTGGCATAAAAACTAAGTCCATTTATAAGTAAAATACGGATAAACAGAATTTTTTTTTTTTAACAAAATTTACTTCTGGATACTATCTTATGATGATAAACAAGCTTCTGTCCAAGTTTGGTACAAATCCAGGATAGTTTATGAAAGTTTTTAAAACTTGAACCACAGAGTGAATGTAATGTTAACTGGCATAAAAACTAAGTCCATTTATAAGTAAAATACGGATAAACAGGATTTTTTTTTTTAACAAAATTTTCTTCTGGATACTATCTTATGATGATAAACAAGCTTCTGTCCAAGTTTGGTAGAAATCCAGGATAGTTTAAGAAAGTTATTAAAATTTCAAAAACTTTAACCACAGAGTAAATATTTGTGGACGCCGCCGATGACGACGACGGAATGTAGGATCGCTATGTCTCGCTTTCGCGACAAAAGTCGCAGGCTCGACAAAAAGGGAGCAGCACTGGCATGTATCTAATGGAGAAGTCATCACATGCAGTTAAGAAACGTCCTTTAGTTAGGAGATGTCCGTAACTGACCATTTCTATGTCCATAACTGACAACCATTTTAAGTCGTAAATAATTCTGTCAATATGAAAATCATTAGAATTATTTCTTTTTAAAGAAACAAATTAACAAATTAACTATGAATAATATAGGCAGGTTTTGCAAAGTGGGTTGACTTTGATGAAGAAGGATACTACACAGTGGCGGATCCGGGGGGGGTTCCGGGGGTTGAAACTTCCCCTTTTATTTTTGACGATCAATGCATTTGAATGGGGACATATAGTTGGAACCCCCCTTTTATCCTGGGTTGGGAACCACCCCTTTTAAAAATGGCTGGATCCGCCCCTGTTACAGACCCCTGAAAAAGTTGCTTTTATTGTTATGGGACTTAAATTGTCAAAAAGTCAGAATTATTTTTTATGATGTTCCAATTCGAAATTCGAAATTCATTGTATTGAGATCAGCTGACATTATTTGCCCAAGGTGAAGTTCTACAGGGATTATCACTTTCAACAAAATAATTGCGGACTTTTTTTAATTTTTACACTGGGACTTTGGTTGGGCAATAGATCAATCAATCAGGTAAACTAACACATTCCCTAAGTATCATCAAAGATCGTCATTTGACATTTCAAAGAAAATGAATAAAACTTCATTTTAAATACTTTTTTATTTCATAAAAAACAAATATTGCATTATAAATAGTATAAAATACATATCTTTCTTGAGCTTATTGGATTTATTTTGGACCCTCGTCTGTTACATTCCTTCACCCTATCTTGAGGTTTTGCATTTGCCTAAAATTGGTGCTTCAACCAATTCTCCCCATAGACTTACATAGGACAGTTAGACTAAATTTATATTTGAAGTATAAGTAATGGTGACAGTGTATTTCTCCTGGGAGGATAAAGTGACTGGTGAAGTAAATATCAGTAGACTATAATAAACCATTTGGAGAGAGTGGATTTTATATGCAATACAGTCATTAGAAGTTGCTTATGCAAATAAAACAATATTGTGACATTTAGATAAAACAATTTTACAAATTTGTAAATACATAGTTTATTTGAGCCCCATAGAAAGGTAATTAACATACAGATTACTAACTTTGATATTTACAATGGCTTAGTATGTGACTCTATTAGCTGAATTGTGAAAAATTCAATATCTGAATCCATACACTAACTTTAATCTGTATAGAAGAATTTTATATTCGGTGAAATGTTGTAATCTGAATTTATTGGTAAAGGCAAAATGCATGTGATTGTATGTAAATAAAGACATTATATTCAAGTTAGTTTGACTTAATCTTTTACTCCTTAAGGTAGGATCATTAATTTTTTGTTTGTTGAATTATTTTCAGGTTTTCAGATAAGAAATAGTTGCTTTAATGATTTTTTTGTTGTTTTTAAAAGAGATATCTAACTTTTTTTATGCTATATAACACAAAAGTTCCTTTCTACAACTATCATAAACATGTGTAAAATAATCTGGTCATCAAATGTACCTTGATTGTCAATCTGTTCTGGGTGACAAATGTAGTTAACATATGCGGTAAAGAAGTTCTACCAAGTGATTATGAAAAGAATTTAAAATCTTCTGTATATTTATAAAAGGAGATGCAGGCTATAGATTGAAATAAACAATTAATTTCCCCATAGGCGACAGTGATAGCCTTTTTCGAGATACAGACTTTAGAAAGTTGATTTTTTTAACAAAACCTTGCTAGAATTAAAGAAAAGTTATTAGGACAGTATTTTTTGGTCCAAAAAATATAGGTTCGCGTAGCTTTTCTTAGCGTAATTTGTACTTATCTCCCATGCCTATCAATTTTGCACTTAAAAATACGTGTCTCATCCTAGCGTTTAAAAGACATCTCAGTCCCGTTAGGGCTAAGGAAAATAATTTATTTGACCTTTGGTATAATGCAGAATGCACAAAGTCTCTAATAACAAAAAATAACGGGCGCACATATCAACCAATCAGGATTAGCTATACTCTTAATTCTGAATACCATGTTATGCTCATAAAATCGCTGCGCCCATAAAATCTAATGGTTTATTGTAACCTATATGTCAATGACACCATAACCCAATAACAACATTAACCATCTTACAGGTTTCATGTAGGAGCCTGTAGTTCAGTGCTTGTCCTTCAATGGTTGTTTTTTGTCATATTTGTTTCTGTTTTGTTTATTGTTTTATCATAAACCGTTGGTGTTATCATTTGAATTGTTTAACATTTTGTCATGTCAGGACCTTTTAATAGCTTACTGTACAGTATGGGTTTTGTTCATTGTTGAAGGCCTTACCATGATATATAGTTGCTTACATTTATGTCATTTGGTCTCTGGTGGATAGTTGTCTCATGAGCAGTCATACCACATTTCTTATATTATGTTTGTTTTTACATGTTCATCTGGGTTGCTCCAAGATAATGCCTTCATTTTACAAACCATCCTTTTCAAATTTGGAGGGATCTTTCTTACCATCAAAACTGTGGATGGTAAGAAAAACATGATTTGGGGGGGCCTTTGTGGGGTTGACTTAGGAAAATATCCAGTATTAATTCTTGTTTACTGTCAACTTTTGCAGTTTCACAGCTGAAATGCAAGATAAAAGAGTTTTGAATTCTTTTATATACATCTATGAACAAGATGGTCTTTAAAAATTAGTCATTAATTAATAGTGTGGGAAAAAAGTTCTAGACATTGTCTAAAGCATTATGAAAGTTAGCCATGTGTTGACATGTCTGAACTTATGTACAAATGACAGTTAGAACAAAATAAAGAAGCATCTAATATATAATTTAAATCTAATAAATGAAAATGAATCCAGATTTAGCTAATACCTTGTTGATATTAAAATACTGACATCTTCCAACCATTTTGCCAGATTTTTTACAGTAAAATCATGTTTATCTTACAGGCCACAAAAGTAGCATCTGCTGCATCAAAGAAGACAAAAGAATTAGGTCAAACTGTAAATGACAGTGTTATAAAACCAACCAAAGAAAAGGTAACAACAGTTTGTTTTACAGGTGTTAAAGTACTAATTCATTAACAGTGGAAATGGCTTTACTAACATTTATTGGTGAAGGTGACAGTTTTATTTATTCTTGTATTATTTCAAGTTAAAAGTGTGAACATTGAAAAAAGGTACATTCCATAAGAATCATCCTTTTGTTAAAAAGAGCAAACCTGTAGATATGTATAAAAGTGTGTATACACCAGTGAGACAGCAACTCAACAACAAAACAAATAGACAACATCTAAAGGGCAACATAAAGTATTAAACAAAAGACAGGTGTCTTTATAATAATTATTATGTCAAGCTCTAGTTCTTCCAGAGTAAAAAAAAAATAGGTGAGAATGGAATTAAACAAAAACTACCAAAGATCTACTGTCACAACCATCTGTCAAATTCTCTAGTTAATAAAACATCTAAAAGACAACCAATGACAAGGTTTCCTGACCCTGAACAGCTGACACTTCAATCTAAATACTGCTATATATATACATTTCATCAGATTCACTTATTAAATGTATAAATAAAAGATTTTCTTTTTATCCTGGTTACTGATGATATAAATTTTGTAAATTGGTAAATCAGGGTTAATGGGGGGATCACTCACTGAAAAAAACACCATGTTTATTTACTACTTACAGAAAATATGAAGCCTTTGTCTATAAAACTTATAATATTTTTGACCTAACACCAGTTAAAAAGTCCCATTTTGAGATTTTTTTAAATCTATTCTAACTTAGACTTATTTAAGTTCCTGGAATTTGTTACCATCAATTGCATGTTTTCTGGTTGGTTTTGGTGTGAATAGGACTTAGATTTAGGTTAATGTTGTATGTTTAGTTAGACCTATTTGATTTTATTCTCTTTGGATTTTCAGCATTGCTTTTAAGGAAAGCATCTGTTCTTATTAAGAAATAAGATTCTACTTAGACAAAGTAAAATTACAGACTTGCTATTTTATCATGTAAAAATTTTGATTTTTTAACACTTAATGTAAAAAAATCAAGTTAAACTTTTTTACACAGTATATAATTTAGACTTATCCTTTTTTTAGATCTCTTTCAATAATATGAAATAAAATGTTATTCATGAAAAATCCAAAGAACAGAAAATGACGTTGGTATGAACGTATTTCCTTGATAATGTTGCTTAATCTGACGCATGCCTAGATTATTTTTTGTGGTTATAGATTTTCATGTTAATGCCCTGTAGTGATTATGATTTTAGTACAGATATTCTTTATGTTTGTTTAACTAATGTGAAGATTAGTAGACAATTTTATACAATCGTAAACAGGATGATTTCAAGTTAATGGTTGAATTTTTGAATGATTTGACTTCTTTAGGTTCAAGAAGGCACATTACTTGATGGTATATCATCATCTGTGTCAGGGTTAGCTAATAAAGTAAGTAACAATATAAGTATAAGGTAATAATTCAAACTTCCTGATGCTGCTGTTCATGTTCTTATTTGGTGAGATTAGATTTGAGAGTCAACTTCAGTATCATTATTAAACACAATTTTATTTCATACTTTTCATGTTTAGTTCTGTGTTTTGTCCCATATTTGTTTTATAATATATATAATATTTTCAAACAAGAATCTCAGAAATTTAAATATACTGATCTATATCTTTCTCAGCTATTAACATGTTTGTCCATACATTTTCTAATGCTTACTGTCCAGACAGTTTAATTATTAAAAGATATTTTAAGATATCTGTGACTGGCAAACTGATATGATGTGGCCTGAAAGGTAGATATTATTGACAGGAAATTTTAATGGCTCTATCATACTGCACTAGTCAAAGCCAATTGATTTGAGTTTTTTAATGGGTAAATGAAATTGACTAATAGCTGAACATGTCTTATATTGTGCATTGATGATAAATTATTTTTATAACGTGTTGACATTTACAGCAAAGAAACATAATGTAAAGTTTTATCTTTACAAAAAAAATGTTTTTAATTACTTACAGTTTGAACATGTTATAATTGGTAAACTATTTGGTCCAGTATGCATGCTTCTTGTTAATTTTTGTTCAGTTTTATGCATGTACCTTCCCCCTTTATGCATGTTTGTAGGTAATGATTAACTTTGTATTAATTGTTATTTAGTACAAAATATTGAAGAAAAAAATTGTGTCTTTTCCAGGTGAAAGAAGGTTCTTTGATGAATGACGTTGGATCCTCCATGAGTGGATTTGCTTCAAAGGTCGGTCTTGTTACTATTTTATTCATCAATTTGTTTATATACTTGATCTTACATATGTTATATATAAGTACTGCTCTTTAACATCATTCTCAAGCTTAAACTACTTTTTAGGATCAATAAGGATCATGTTGCCACCAGACTTTCACTTGACCTATAAATTTTCTAGACTGGTCTTTTTTTGAAAGATTAAATGGTAATTTAGAATGTTTTCTACATATCAGCTTGTTCAGAAAATACATTTTTAAAAGTGGTCCTACAAGATGTTAACATCTCTATTAAGTAGCCTATGTATGGAGTGCCCTGTATAGTAAGCATTAGTTTTGGTAAATAAAGTTCATAGAAATTGATTGAACAAATGAAAAAAAATATATATTTATTGGTCATTCAAGTTGGTTTCATCAGAAAAATAAGTGCAAGGTGTCTAAATTTCTGTATGGTAGTGATTTCAAGAGATATTTTCAGTATACATTTCCTCATAAACTACTAGACTAATTCAGGTACTGTTACCAAACATATTTTTAGGGATACTTTATTTTGCATTTAGTCCTTTCTAGCCGACTTTGCAGCAATTTAAATTTTGTGATTTTATAATTTTCTTGGCATATTTATATTGAGGAAGCTCTAAGTTTTACATGTTCAGGTAGATTTATATTGAGGAAGTTCTAAGTTTTACATGTTCAAGTATATTTATATTGAGGGAGCTCTAAGTTTTACATGTTCAGGTAGATTAATATCTCTAACTTTTACATGTTCAGGTAGATTTATATTGAGGAAGCTCTAAGTTTTACATGTTCAGATAGATTTATATTCACATTATTTTTCTACTTGCGAAAGTCATGAAAATGAATTGGTTTACAGTGAACCTATATTTACACCTGTGCTCCTTTTGATGATTACTTTTTTATTTTTGTCTTTCTGTCTGTGTTCCAGTTCCTTGAATATTTTGCCAAATTTTTTTTCAGATTCTGCAAATCTGAGCTTCTTAAAACTGAGTATCAAGCTTTGTATGAGCATGATATACTGTGTTATGATTTTTCATAACAATGGCCCATTAACTTCCTGTTCACCAAATACTGGCATCATTAGTGAGCAATAGCTCACATTATATCTTGGTTTCTTTTTCAGTGCAGTTGATAAAAATTTACATTGGTGAATGTGTCAGGTTGTAATATTTCCTTGTCACTGTGGGCAAGCTCCCCATCATCTATTCCTTTATTCAAATTTATACCAGTAACAGTATTATCAAGAATTAGATTTTTTAGTGATGCTAGACATACTAATTATCATGCCTTGTTTGTATTTGTCAGATTACTAATGTTAGTTCTAAAGGATGGACAAACTTCTCTTCACTATGGGGAGAACCAAAGACAACATTGTCATCTGTAGATACTAGTCCTGGAGAGAAGTCCAACTTACTCAGTGGAAATTCTTCACCAGACAAGTTAGTATTCAAACATTAAAACCTACTGTTATAACCTGAGAGTGGTAAAAATCAATTATGCCTTCAATTTCAGGACTGGCATCAGTTTACTTACCGGTAAAAGAAGTAACACTTTTGTAAATTCTGGTGCAGGCTATAGGAAACATCCTTGTTCATCCTTAGACCTAATGAAGGTTTTTGAGAAACAAACAAAAAAATGTTAATTCCTGTGTCTTCTAGTCTTTTGTTATGAAGACATCTGTTAGCTGTTCATAATCAAATATAATAAAGATATGGTAAGTATTATTCAGTCACAACAGCTGCTTTGCAAGAATGTTAGCTATTTTTGAAAGAAATTAATCTTTGTTATATATTGACATAAAATGTGCAAGGAATTGCAACTTTCTGTATAAAGTAAGTATAAAAGGTTTATGTACACAAATCTGAATTTATTTGCAACAGATGTTGACACTGCTTGAACTGGTATGTGCACTTTGAATGTTAGCGTAAAGAGTGTTTTAACGTTGTTTTGACAAAATTTGAGGGAAAACTTCTACTTGAAGTTAATATTGGTGAAGTTGGGAGTATATAATTGGAAGATTTTAACCCTCAAATTTGGAGACAGGTCTACTATAGGAAAGTTCAAACTTTTGAAAAATTATCTGGATTGTTTACATCTCTGATGTGAGCAGTCAACTGTAAGAACCTAATTTTGATGCCAACATTGTTTATATACACCAATGACTTAAGGTTTATATAACAGTTCATATGTATGTGAAGGTACTGTAAGATGTTAGATTATGTAAACATGCATTAATATGTACAGTTAACTCTCGTTGTCTCGAACTCGGTTGACTCGAAATTTCGAATGAGTCGAAGTTTTCTCGTGGTCCCGAACTTTGTTCCATATAAATATATGTATTTCGACTCCTGGTGAGTCGAAATTGGATGAGTCGAAATTTCGGTTGACTCGAACTAAATTTACGGTCCCAAGGTTAACAAAAGCATTCAAAATTCATTATTTATCTCGAACTAATACACATGTGTCAAAACATGACCTCGGGGATTTAAATGGATTGAAGAGTTAACCTGACGATACACGTGTAATTAAATTTCCAGTCACTGACCACTGTATTGATTATTGACATTCTTTTTCCACGAATGTTTACCTAAGATTATCCTTGATCAACATGATAAATAATTCGTGATACATTGTTATAGTTAATAAAAAATTGTTTAAAATGTTTGAAAAACAATTAACCGTAAACATACACTAATGAGCTTGGTTGTGCATAAAGTAGGGATTAAGACTTCCGTTGGTGATCAACTCAAAACTACTCAATCGGCGTCTTTAATTTTTTGTATTTCCTCTTGCAGAAAAAGTTTGAAATAAAAGAAAATGAAAAGAAATCTAAATTTTCTAAAATCTCTTGAATACGAGAATGAACAATTTTGTCAACTTTAAATAACGCTAAGATCGATTGGAAATTACTCTCTTGGCTAAAAACCACAGGAAAAATTGTAACTGTACAAAGAAATAAATAAGAGAAGAATACATAAAATGTTATTATAATAATAAAAGACCATAACATACAGATACATCGATCTTAGACCAGAATATCGATTCCCTACCCATATTCATCCGGATTTATTTTAGCTTTACCAAGCTAATAAGAGTTGTGTCCCTTGGTCTGTCAAACTTCCGGTTTTCGTTTGAGTCGAACTACGGGTATCTCGAAATATTTCTCTGGTCCGGCTGACTTTGAGATAACGAGAGTCGACTGTATTAATATTTCTACCGAAGGTGGTGGTTCTCTCTAGGCACTCAGGCTTCCTCCACCAAGCACAATAGTGTTGAAAGAGGCTTAAAACACTAATCAATCTATCAAATGTTACTAGGTCAGCATCTAGGCAAAAGTAGAACAATTTGACAAACTTTTCAGGGGGTAGTAAGGTGAGTGCATACATGAAAAAAACCAAGTATGGTAATTCAAATACTCATCATATTGTAAATCAAATTTTGATTTGATTTTTTGTTTATGAGTATAATGTTAAATATTCTGTTAATGAATACAATATAGGATGAATATCATTCAATGTTTAAGTTTAGATGTATAAAAATAAGAAGATGTGTGATTGCCAATGAGACAACTGTCCACTGAAGTTCAAATGAAGTTGATATAAGCAATTATAGGCAACTGTATGGCCACAATGAGAAAAACCCACATCCTATAGTCATCTATAAAAGACTCAGACATGAAAAATGAATGTTTCATGAATTTCTTGGTAGGCACACATGTTCTCCAGATAAAATATTGCACAGTTACAATGCCAGGGGGACATTTTACTGTGTTGTAGCTGTAGTTATCTTAATCAATAGAATTAGTATTAGCTCAATAAAAAAGGGCATGATAACTTTATAATTGTAGATATAGATAACAGTTTTTCAGAATAAATAAAAAAATATCTATTGTTTATTTATTATCTGTTTTCAGAGATCTAAGTAAAAACAGACTTCTGTCAGAAGACGATGATGATAATTGGGGATGGGGCAATGAGTGGGAAAGTAAAGGCTCTAAAGGTTCCCCAAGGAGATCAGAAGATTCATCATCTGGCTTTGATTCAAAGAAGGCAGATGATGACCTTGAGAATTGGCTGAATGATGATGACTCTTTAATACAAACCTCTAAGTCAAAGTCTAAATCTAAGAAAGTGGAAGATGACTGGGATAATTGGGGCGATAACAGCAAAACGGATAAAGTTAAGACTGACAAAAAATCATCTAAAGGTAAAAGTAGTGATGGATGGGAAGATGTGGACTGGAATGCTGGCTTTAGTTCAAATGAAAAACAAAAGCAGCCATTGGTTGGAGATTTATTGGACCTTAGTGAAGACACCCCTGTCACAACCAATGGAAATTCAGGATGGGACAATGAAGTTTGGGCTAATGAAGAAGAGGAAGATGAGTGGCAAAGCTTAGATATAGGTTCATCGGATAATAGGAAACTCAAATAATTAACACAGTATCTACTTTATGTGTTCATATTTTAACTTAAATCCCATGAATCCATTGAAATAATTACCAAATGTTGTATTTCATGGCTTAGTGAGACTGCAAGCACCACACTTACTAAATGCAAAAAAAAAATATCTTGAAAAAGTTAAAATACTTGAAAGTTATAACCTGAATGTTAAGAATCTGTCTAAATTGAAAAAAATAGGTGCTAAACTACAATAATTTAATTTTGGATGTAACCCGTCTTCTGATTGGCTGAAAGTGTTTTGTCTATCAGCTCATAGATATATTTTGTCATGTGGCTGTGACGCCACCAACGTTTTTTTCAAAATTTACTCCTTAAAAATGGAATTTAGAATTAAATTATAAGGAAGGACTGTAATATTTTTTCTGTCTAATCGAAATAACCTAAAAAATGTGGTGCACACTTTTAAATAACCCGCTACGTGGGTTATTCAGTGTGCACCACATTTTTTATGTTATTTCTTCATAGACAGAAAAAATATTACAGTCATTCCTTAAATAAATCTGATAATCAATGTTATACAGAAAGAAGATATATCAAGTACAAAGGTTAATAACTGAAGTAGCCAAAACATTTCATAATAATTTGGAATTTGATACATTCTTGATAATATTTAAAATATTCATCAGATATTGCACTTTTTTTAAACTGTCCTAATCAATAAATTTTTGCTGAAAAAAAAATTTAATGCATGAAATTGCTTGTTGTTTGGCAATTTGTATTAGAAAAGCAAATATTTAGATCTATATTTACTCTGGGAGTATGCTGATCTATATGTTTTCCTGTTTTTATACGACAGCAAAAAATGTTTGCGGTCTTATATTGGTATCACGTCGTCGTCGTCATCGTCCTCCGAAGACACTTGGTTTCCGGACAATAACTTTAGTATTAGTTAATAGAAATCTATGAAATTTAAACACAAGGTTTATAACCACAAAAGGAAGGTTGGGATTGATTTTGGGGGTTATGGTCCTAAAAGTTTAGGAATTAGGGGCCAAAAAAGGGGCCCAAATAAGCATTTTTCTAGTTTTCAGACAATAACTTGTGGAACGGTGTATGGATCTCTCTGAAATTGTTCAACAAGTTTCCATACCACAAAGGGATGGTTAGAATTGGCTTTGGGGGGTAATGGCTCAAACCGTTTAGGGATTAGGGGCAAAAAAGGGGGAAAAAACAAGGGTTTCCTTGTTAATGGACAATCACTTTTAAGTACAATGTTAAAAAAATGTTGTATTGTCTTGAGGTGATTAGCTGTCAATTTATATTTAGAAGTTACTAATAAAAATGCTGATTAAAGATATATATTATTTTTAGACATGATTATGTATTTCATTTTCTATTTTAAGACTTTTATGATGTATTTAAATGGGTAATTATGGTTGCAAATTCCATTGGGAATTTGAATTGAGATAATGACCATATCTTGAGGGAAAGATTTTTTTTTGGAAAAAGGGGAGTGGGGAGGTGAAAAAAAATTGGGGGGGGGTTAAAAAGAAGTTGTGGGGGGGAACATTTTTTTTTTCTCATTACAGATTTCAGAAATTAAAAAGAAAATTTCTTCAAATAAATTTTTTTTTTGTAAAAAAAAAAAGTGGTGGGGTGAAAAAAAATTCTAAGTTATTCTGTGTCAGAAACCTTTTATGTGTCAAACATTTAATTTCAATCCAAATTCAGACCTGTATCAAGCACGAATATTGTGTCCATTTTTGCCCCAACTGTTCAGGGTTGGACCTCTGCGGTCGTATCCAGCTGCGCTCGGCGAAGCAATTTATAGTAGATGTATTGAGATTGCTGTTGATAAATTCCTTTACAGTAAGATGTTATCAAACTTTTTACTGAGCTAGCTTTATGTTATGAAGTGAAATAAACAATGTGTAAAGGAGTAACAGCTGTGTTGATCTGTTGCTTTTGTGGAAAATATCACATTGATTTTACATAAAAATTGTTCATTGTAAATTACATTGATGTATCTGTGATATTGTTGTAATTTATGTCATTAGGTTGTTCATGGGTGAAAGTTCACAAGATTTTAAGAAATATTTGCCTGATGTAATCTCTTTAAAAAAAAAAGATGTTTCCCAAATGTTCAGTTTATCTCCAATTTTATGCTTTCACTCATGAATTAACAGTAAAAATTTGCAGAATTTTAAATGTATATGTGGGAACAAATTATTTTAGAGGCATACCATAAAACAAACATCGGTCATTTATTCATTACTTCTATACATGCATTATATTTTCATATCAATTATATCGAATATCATTTTACCTTCAATAGTTCTTCTAATTAAAATATCTGTCAAAGCTTACAGCATCACTTGAGTTTGGAATAAACTAATTGCATAAACTGAAACGATCTTCACATTGTACTGAAATGTGTTGAATCATTTTATGGTGGATTTTGTTAGGGAGTTGTCATAATTTTGTTTCATTTGTTGGTAAAGATTTCAAAATCCCTTGATTAAGAACCCTCAAAGTAATGGTATTTTTTCTGTAACCACTTAAAACTTTTACCCATAAAATTGATCATTAAATAAAGGGTAAACGATGATGTTGAAGGGAGTAATTCTAAAATGAAAATCTATAGGATGGTACATGCAATAGAAAAATCCAAAACAAAAAGACATGTGTATGAAACAACAAAAACTGTTGTTCTTAAAGTCAATTGCAGCCACTTGTGAAATGAAACTTATAAAAGTAAAATTTGCTTTTCACGTACAAACTGTATTTGTTCATATGTATGTATTATAAGAGGTAGTCAAAGGGCAATACTTTCCTGTGTCTCAATTTTGTTCAAAATTATTGTGGATAAATGAATATAATTGTAGTAGATAAGTGTCCTAATGTTGCAAAATGTCATTAGATATTGCTGGTGCATCTCATAATGTTTCATTTCAAATTGTCGTTAATATTGATGTTATAGGATACTTATCTGAAGTCAAGTTGTTAATAAAATGTAAGCCAGTATTCATTTTAAGATTACACAATAAAACTTAAAAGCCACTTATTTTTTATAGCTAATAAGGTATAGTTAGTAACAAAATGTGAGACATAGGAATGCTAAACGGGCTCCAGTGTTGTCTGCATAATCTATTTGTATGAAGCTGCTTATCGTAGTAAGTAGAAGACCTAGTTATTTCATATCTTTTATACAGATACCCAATATTACAAAAGTTTCTATCTGGCATATATTCATTTCCTTGCCCTCAATTTCATGGTTCAGCAACTGCTAAAAAATTTTTTTTTATCACATTTCTCAGTTTCTATGAGTAAAATGAAAGACTGCTATATTTGGTTTATAGAATCATTGCAAGGTAAACATGTCTGTCAGTCTTCATTTACCTGAAGTCGACCTCCTTTCATGGATCAGTGATCAAGGTTAAGTTTTTATGGTTGCCCGTTTCTCAGATTATATATGCAAAAGGTTAACCTTTTATTCTTGGGTCAAAGAAGTCGAAAAAAGCAAGACTTAGGTGTGCTGCTTCCGGCGTCAACAATGTATTAGTTTGTGATTAGTTCAGCTTATGGGAAAGCCCTAGTGGTAGGTCAATCATATTTGGTATGCAGTTGTATAAGCATTTGCGCATCACATTTCCATGGAGATTATTTGGTCCAGCCCACACAGTCATGTTCTATTGACTGAACTTTTGCTTACCGTATTAGTTTGTGATTAGGTCAGTTTTAGGGGAACGACTTAAGTGAAGTCATTGGTATTTAGTATGCAGTTTTATAAGCATTGGCATATCTCATTTCCATTGAGATTATAAAACCCCCCTCCCTGCCCTCATCATGGTTCATTTACTTTGAAACATTTACTTAGTTTAAATGTTAAAGTTTGTGTTTAGATTTGTTTAAAGGGTACTGTTACCCCTACATGTAAACTACCGGTATTTAGTATGCAGTTTTATAAGCATTGCCATTTCTTATTTCCATGGAGGTTTTGCACATCACCTTCAGTCATGGTTCATTGACTTGGAATTATTTGCAGTCTAAATATTGCCATTTTGATTTCAACATTTGTATTTTACTATCAAAATAACAAAATGCTGGACATATCTCAGTGTCAACAGTTTATTGAATTATTGTAAGGTGTATATGTTCATTTGACAGGGTCCATCTTACCTTGACCTCATTTTCATGGTTCATTGTTCACATTTAGTTTTTGTTGTCAGGTCTATTTCTCAGATACTATTACCAGTAGGTTATAACTATATTTGGTATATATATAGGACCTCCTCAGTGGTCTCGTGGTAGTGTGTTCACCTCAAGTGCGGGATGTTGTGGGTTCAAACCCCGGCAAAGTCCAACCAGACTTTAAATTGGTATTTTGCTGCTTCTCCGCTAATCATGCTGCATTAATGTGTAAGAGCAAAGACTGGTCGGCTCTGAGTCAGAATGTGTCCGTGTAAAGTGAAATGTGTTCCTGCAGACTGTTACCTTGTGAACTAGCACGTTAAAATTCCGGCTCAACCTGTTGGTCTAGTACAAAGCAAGGTTAATATTCATAATACATTAACGTGTTTTCGTCCTGAATATGCATATTAATTTGCCACTGGACATTAAGCAGCCATCCATCATCATCATTATTTGGTATATGACAAGATTGTAAGATGTACATGTTAGTCTGGCAGAGTTCCTGTGACCTTAAATAGGAATTTGAGGATAGATTGATCTGGTACTGAATTAAATTTATATCATGCTCACATGAAGATTGGTAACAAATTTCAGGAAGCTCTCATTTTGAAGTTCCTTAGAAAAGTACGACAGAATTTCATGAGGCTAATGGATAAATGGACAGACAGAGGTAAAACGGTCAACCCTCTCCATTAGACCGGGGGTATAAAAAGTTGTTACTTAAAGATTTCCTTAGAATACTGTATCAAAGAATGATTGCAGTAACTGGATGCATAAAGGTCAATATATGCTGAAACATCTCTCATTGATTACTGTTTAAAGGTTATTTTCCAACATTTTTCACTTCAGATCTTGCTTGGTAAGGTAAAAGAATTTGCTTGCTTTGTAGTGCTAAGTGTACCCTTACATGTTTTAATCATCCAATAAAAGAACAGTTTTCCAACATTGCCGGCCCCAACATATTTTAGCTGTCAAAGGGTAGGAGCTCCAACAATTTTAAAATATGATAGCAGAAATCATTCAGGTTTCCAAGATTTATTGAATGAACGATTGGTGTTTTATGCTACTTTCAGCACTATTGTGCTATTATGTGATGGTCCGTTTTTATACGCTCGTCAAAATTTTGATGGGACGTATTATGGTATACAAATGTCGTCTGTCCTTCTGTCCGTCTGTCCATCTGTCCATCTGTCTGTCCGGCATAAACATGTCACACCGTAACTTGAGAACGACTTATCCAAATTTCATGAAACTTTACATTGTTGTTTCTTATGATGGTCAAACGATCTGTATACTTTTTGGTGAAAATAAGATTAAAACTTTTTGAGTTACAGGACTTAGTAACTAAAACAGGTGTGTGTTTTTTTTCACATGTCGAGCCGTATCTCAAAAACAATTTATGATTATTGCTTAAAACTTTACACACTTCTTAGTTATATTAATCTTAAGATCTGTATACTTTTTGGTGATGATTCAAAATTTCATTTTTGAGTTATTGAGTATTTTGTAAAAAAGGGGGAGGGGTTTTTCACATGTCTCGCCGTAACTCAAAAACGATTTATGATTATTGCTTAAAATTTTACACACTTCTTAGTTATATTAATCTTTAGATATTGATTTTTTTAATTTTTTTTATGGGGGGTTTTCACATGTCGCACCGTATCTTAAAACTGATTTATGATTATTGCTTAAAATTTTACACACTTCTTAGTTATATTAATCTAAAGATCTGTATACTTTTTGGTTTTGATTCAAAATTTTATTTTAGAGATATTGAGTTTTTTGTAATAAACAAGAGGCTCTCAAGAGCCTGAATGGCTCACCTGTATTTCAGAGGAGAAGATTTTTAAATGTTAGCAAACTTGATGAACAAATTGTGTAAAATTGTTTTTAAAGGGCAATAACTCCTTAAGGGGTCAATTGACAATTTTGGTCATATTAACATTTTTGTAGATCTTACTTTGCTGAACATTATTGCAGCTTACAGTTTATATCTATCTATAATAATATTCAAGATAATAACAAAAAACTGCAAAATTTTGTTAAAACTACCAATTTGGTGGCAGAAACCCAACAATGGGTTGTTCGATTCGTCTGATAATTTCAGGGCCGATAGATCTTGGCCAATTGAACAATTTTACCCCATGTCAGATTTGCTCTAAAAGCTTTAGTTTTTGAGATATAAGCCAAAAACTGCATTTGACCCTTATGTTCTATTTTTAGCCATGGCAGCCATGTTTGTCAATGGATCAAAACTTCGGATACATATTATAAAAAAGATACCCTGAGGCACATTTAGTTAAAGTTTGAAGGTAATTGGCCCAGTAGTTTCAGAGGAGAAGATTTTTAAATGTTAGCAAACTTGATGAACAAATTGTGTAAAATTGTCTTTAAAGGGCAATAACTCCTTAAGGGGTCTATTGACAATTATGGTCTTATTAACATCTTACTTTGCTGAACATTATTGCTGTTTACAGTTTATATCTATCTATAATAATATTCAAGATACAAAAAACTGCAAAATTTCCTTAAAACTACCAATTTAGTGGCAGCAACCCAACAATGGGTTGTTCGATTCATCTGAAAATTTCAGGGCTGATAGATCTTGACGAATTGAACAGTTTTACCCCATGTCAGATTTGCTCTAAAAGCTTTAGTTTTTAAGATATAAGCCAAAAACTGCATTTGACCCCTATGTTCTATTTTTAGCCATGGTGGCCATGTTTGTCGATGGATCAAAACTTCGGATAAAATTTATAAACTAGATACCCTAAGGAACATTTAGTTAAAGTTTGAAGGTATTTGGCCCAGTAGTTTCAGAGGAGAAGATTTTTGAAATAGTTTACCACGGACGACGACAGACGCCAAGTGATGGCATAAGCTCACATGTGGCCCTTTGGGCCCCGGTGAGCTAAAAAGGGGGTTTTTGCATGTCGCACTGTATGTCAGAAACTATTTATGATTATTGCATAAAAATTCACACACAAGACGACGGGCGTATCATGCACTCATTGCGCAGCTGTTTATTATTGGTGGAGGAAGCTACAGGTTTTCAAGACATTGATCTAAATTTTAAAAAACTCTGTCAAGAAATGTAGGAGCAAGATTACTTACAATAAAACTTCCCCTATATTTTATATTTGAAAAGGGCATAACTCAAGTAAAAAGGTTTATGGGGACTGATTTTTGTCCAAGACCATGCTATTATTAACCTTTAATATGAATTTATATAAAAATATGACATAACTGTAGGTGTGAGTGCTTAAACAACAGGACGAACAGATGCCTGGTAAATCTATGCCCCCTCTGCAAATTGCGTCCAGGGACAAAAAGAAGGAAGTGGCAGGAAAATCTGAAAATGTTTTAAACAGTAACTTAATATTTTCATGCTAATGCCACTATTTTCCAAGCATAAAATCAGTCTTTGTATAAAAACTGTATTTTTCAGTGGGTATAGTAATGTTTGATACTTTGTACAATAACTGTATGTTCAGTGGGTATAGTAATGTTTGATACTTTGTACAATAACTGTATGTTCAGTGGGTATAGTCATGTTTCGTGGATTCATTTATTTGTCATGGTTGTGACAATTTCTTCAAATAAGCCGAAAGGAATTTTGTCTAAAATCCTTGGTTCACTTTTAATCACAAGATCCAGATAAATAGTAACCCACAAATAATAATAGTGCACCTGGAAAAGAAGTGGTAGCATGAGATTTCTAAAATTTCCTTATATACAACTAAAATTAATATGCTTTAAAAAAAAGTAAAATAACAAAAGTACCGAACTCTGAGGAAAATTCAAAATGGAAAGTCTCTAATCAAATGGCAAAATCAAAAGCTCAAACATATCAAATGAATGGATAACAACTGTCATATTCCTGACTTGGTACAGGCATTTTCTTAAAGGGGCATTAGCTACGAGATATAAAAAAAATTAAAATAATTTTTTTTGTTCAATCATTAATGAAAGTGAAATAGTGAAGTAATAATTCGCTTTTAGCAGCCAGTTTGGTTCAATTTTGTCAAAATAAGAAACATCGCTGATGAATTATTCACTTGCAAGTGAATAATTCGACCTCATTGAGTCCATATTCATGTAACCTTCAATTGAACCCATTAGCTAGAGATGGGTTACACATAAACAAGGCATGTTCAGATATTAAAGGGAAAATAATGTTAACATTAAAAGTGAAACAAGGGTAAACCATTTGGTTGACCGATTTGATCCACAAAAACTCATTCTTATACAGGTAACAATGATGATTAACATATTTTTCTAACCTATAATATAAAATCATACAGACCTAGAACAATCCAATTGCATGTGTTCTCAATCTATTTATAACTATATTTATGATTATATCGGGTTATATGACTGTCAGCAGTCTTCGTAGGTCACCTTGATGGTTAATTAGATGGCGTCTAGACTAAAAAACACACGAAATGCTGATACATATTTATAATATCAAGTTCATGCATACTTTATTGTTAATTTTAGACTTTTTATAATTTGAATATACGTTTTAGTATGTTATAAATCAAATATGAGAATTTGAGTCAAATCGTTGAACATGAATTTGACAGCTAATGCCCATTTAAGCCAAACCATAGAACCATTCCTTTTTACAGAAACAAAGTCATTTAAAACAAGCATTCTGAGAGTATTGCATGGCAATACGTACAGAGTCCACTACCGGTTAACAATTAATTGTATGGGAACAAAATGCTAACTTGATCTTTATGTGATACATTTTATTCTTTACTTAAGATTTTTCAAATAAATACAATATCACATTTTGGTAAATAAAATTACAATGTTAGACTATAACAATACAAATCTTATGGGCATTTTTCAAGCTTGAGATTCTAGAATAACAACAAAGTGGTACCTGATATGTTTCTTCAATATAACAACTACGGCGGGGCATAAAAAGTTGGAGTTCATGTTGATGGTTCCTCTAATCTGTTTTAATTCCGAGTGCATACAAGGATTTTCATTGAGAATTAAACACAAAAATGTCATAATTTAAGGAGTTAGTCCTTTAGAGAACAATAATCATATAAACTTCATCAAATCTGATGGAACAAATGAAGGCAGTTATTTCTACTTGGATTCAAAAGAAAAATAACTCATCAAAACCTGACTTAAAATATAAAGATTTTAAACTTAAAATAAAGATTTTCAGCCATCCAGAAAACATAAAACCTACATCAAATCATAATGAAATTTTCACAACAATTGTTTTTAAAAACTGCATCAAAAATTAAAAAGACTTTATATAAGTGAAAATTTAAGATGTTTATCTCTTTGGCCAATTTTTTCAAAAACAATGAGAGTTATGTAAATTCTGATAGCATCTTCAGGTCAATTGCTGAAACAAACCTTAAGTAAAAAAAAATATCTTCTCTTTTCAGAGATTATTTTTAAAAATTGGGCGCACCTTAAACAAATACCAGACTTTTTTAATGGCAAGCAATAAGGTCAGTTAGTTATATAATTCACAAAATAACAAATATCAAACTACTATTACATGAACATGATAACTTAAGCTTGTCTAAAAAATACACTTTTCAGAAATACACTTAAGGATGAAAATAAAGTTCTTTTCCTGCAGGTATATTGCTAGAAATAATAGTTGTTTTGTTTTGTGAAGAATAAATTATCAATGAAAAGCAGCGTTTGTAGAATGAGATGTATTGAAAGTTTCTTTTGAAAACACCTAATGGATGATTATCAATGATTTAATCTATGTAATAGGATAACATGATTGCTGTACATAAAAAAAACTATAAATATCATGTTAACTGATTTATAACAAACTATGAAAGTATTATTCTCAAAACTGAGTAAAAGCATATTCCTTTTACACAATATCAACCTTCATAAAAGCTACTAAATTCACAGTAACATTTTTGGATTACATTTGTTTCTTTCTTGCTTCAAAATTAAAATTTTTTATAATCCATGTGTATTTTTATAGCTATTCACTGTCAGACACAATACAGTTTATGTAATACTGTTTATCAATCACATGTTCAATGAAAATTGCACTTTAATTGTTCATAATTTTCATTTTCAATATATCAACAGATGTACACAAAAATATCAAACGTTTCTACAATGTCTGTCTCTCCGCCAACAGTCACATACAACCATCCACTCAACTTGATTATGAAGTACATTTCCTACTGACACAATCACAACAAAACATCATTGACTAGAACATTTTGCCTTATATCTATTCTTTCCAACATCAAGCTATTCCATACGTCGGTGTGTAAACACCAAAGTCTTCTCTTCTTCTTCCCCTGCCCCCTCTTCCTCCTCTTCCTCCCCCACCCCTACCACCTCCCATCCCTCTTAGACTTTCCCTCTCCTCTGCTCTTTTCCTCTGGTTAGCCTCCCAACGTTGTGCCATATCTTCTAAGAACTCAGGCACTTCCTGTAAATAAACACCAAGTATGTACACATGGATTCAGTTCATATGTAATAATAATAGCAAAACATAAGTCTTAAAACATCATTATATATTTAACAAGAATGTGTCCATAGTACACGGATGCCCCACTCGCACTTAATCATTTTCTATGTTCAGTGAACTGTGAAATTGGGGTCAAAACTTTAATTTGGAATTAAAATTAGAAAGATCATATCAAAGGGAACATGTGTACCGGTACTAAGTTTCAAGTTGATTGGACTTCAACTTCATCAAAAACTACCTTGACCAAAAACTTTAACCTGAAGCGGGACAGACGGACGGACGAACAGACGCACAGACTGAAAAACATAATGCCCCTAGGTGGAGCATAAAAATCGAATATTCATATGAATGACAGGAGATGTGGGGAATAAATCAATAAGACAGAAAACCAACAACAACAAAATTTAATACACATGTACCTGTGATAAGTGTTCTCTTTGTCTATAAACAACATCCATGCTTATATCATCTACATTTGGTTTCAGTTGTCTCATTGGCAACCATACCACATCTCCTGATTTTTATATACATATATAGTTATCTTGTTTAATGTAATGTTGTTCATATTTCTATTAGTTAATATTTTTTGCCAAATTGGTAAGGGTAAATTTCTATAAATAAAGGACATTCTATTTACCAAAAGGTAAGCAGGGATTGAAAAAACTGACCTTGATGACAAAATAAAATGAACCAAAAGTGATACTTAAATACAGAATATATTTTGTTAATGTATAAAGATGTTACATAACTTAAAATATCTTTGATCAAGAGTGTAACACAAAAGTAAGGAATATTTGATAATTTTGAAACTATTAAAATGGGATGCTTCAATCCATGATTTTTTAAGTCGTATCACAAAAATATGTTACGTAACTTGAGTAATTAACTACAGAAAGATGTTATCTGAATGCAACAGGGTTTCACCAGCTCTTTATGAGGCAGTAAAAAAGTAACAAGAGTGCACACGCTGAAATGTCTCGCCTTCTTTACTAATCATTGATATTATGTTGATACATGTAGTCCTAAATATAAAGCTTTATTACAACTGTCACATAAACTTAACATTAACCAAGTAAACTAAACATTGACCAATGAACCATGAAAATGAGGTCAAGGTCAGATGAACCATGCTATGCAGGCATGTACAGCTAACAATTCTTCCATACAACAAATATAGTTGCCCTATTGCTTATAGTTTAAGAAAAACAGACCAAAACACAAAAACTTAACACTGAGCAATGAACCTTGAAAATGAGGTCAAGGTCAAATAAAACCTGCGTGACTGACATATAGATCATAAAATATTTCCATACACCAAATATAGTTGAACTATTGCATATAGTATTAGAAAAAAAGACCAAAACTCAAAAACTTAACTTTGACCACTGAACCATGAAAATGAGGTCAAGGTGAGATGACACCTGCCAGCTAGACATTTAAACCTTACAATCATTCCATACACCAAATATAGTAGACCTATTGCATACAGTATAAGAAAAACAGACCAAAACACAAAAACTTAACTATAACCACTGAACCATGAAAATGAGGTCAAGGTCAGATGACACCTGCCAGTTGGACATGTACACCTTACAGTCCTTCCATACACCGAATATACTAGACCTATTGCTTATAGTATCTGAGATATGGACTTGACCACCAAAACTTAACCTTGTTCACTGATCCATGAAATGAGGTCGAGGTCAAGTGAAAACTGTCTGACGGGCATGAGGACCTTGCAAGATACGCACATACCAAATATAGTTATCCTATTACTTATAATAAGAGAGAATTTAACATTACAAAAAATCTTAACTTTTTTTTCAAGTAGTCACTGAACCATGAAAATGAGGTCAAGGACATTGGACATGTGACTGACGGAAACTTTGTAACATGAGGCATCCATATACAAAGTATGAAGCATCCAGGACTTCCACCTTCTAAAATATAAAGCTTTTAAGAAGTTTGCTAACGCCGCCGCTGCCGTCGCCACCGGATCACTATCCCTATGTCGAGCTTTCTGCGACAAAAGTCGCAGGCTCGACAAAAATGAGAATGTGATTTTAATCAGACACCTTGATAATTATTGCTCTGACCTTAATCTTACGTCATTGTGATAAATATACGGAAAAAATTGTAGAAAACCAAAGAAATAGTTTGATATGCTAGCTAACCTGCATAGCCTCTACTAAGATTTCTATCAAATGTGCTGCATTTCTCCAATCATTCCTTGTCATAAGTGTTAAGGAAGTACCTGTTCTCCTAAAAAGAGAAATAAAGTATTTAAGACAATTAAAATAAAAGAAGAATGTGTCTGAGGACACAAATGCCCCCACCCAAGGTTTCTTATAATACATGAAAATACTTTTTGAGAGCATTTGATGTCACTGCTAGTTATTTATAGAGTTCTATTGTTCTTGTCTTGGGTATTTTTGTGCTGTGTGTTATTTTCATATTTTCACTGTTTTGTTTTTATTTCTTATGTAATAAGTTTTCTGATATTGCATAACTCTAGAACAGTAAGTGACACAGTGCCCAAATTGGAACTCTGTTTGAATGTTTAGGTTCTTACCATTGTGTACGTGTTTCTTAAAAATTTGCATGGGCCAAACTTAAGTAGAGTGCGGAAACTAAAAATAAATTGCAATTTTCCAAGTTATAAAGGGGCTTATTTAGAACAGTAAGTGAATCACTGCCCAAGTTCAAACTGCAAGTTTTTGGGTCTTAGCATTGTGTACGAATTTTATAAAATTTGCATGAGGTAAACTTAAGTGCGGAAACGACAATGGGACAAACAGAAGGACAGACGGACGGAAAAACGGACAGAAGGACAGTCGAACAAGGGTAACACATAATGCCCCCTTTGCCTAGCAGCGAGGGCATAAAAATTCAAAAACTATACCATGATATTTGAGGACTTTATAAACCATCAGTTTGGTTTGTGTCTTGCCTTTTGTTTCTTTTAAACTGGTGACTTTCCAAGTTTTTAACTCAGCGTTATCAATGTCACAGTCTGATGTTAATTAGTGCATGATTTCTATCAAAAGGTCAACTGGAACAAAAGAGGGCACACACTGAAATATATTGACTGTTTATGACTGAACTTTATGTAAAAAGTCTTAGATCAAGTTCATACTACAGGAATTAGAAAAACTGCATTATCAATAATCCATGAAAATGAGGTCAATTATTATCACGATAATTCCTGCCAGACAGACATATTAACCTTACAATGCTTCTATACAACTAAAATGGACAGACAAATGGATAATTTTATTGCAGTATACCATCCACTCCTTGAGTTGGGGTATCATACTCTTGTTTAATAAAGTTCCTTACCCCGCTCTTCCTGTTCTGCCAACTCTGTGGACATATTCCTCCATATGTCTCGGGAAGTCAAAATTGAACACATATCTGAAAAAAATATATACAATGTATGTTATATGGATCATTTGTGGTTTAGTCTAGGTTTGGTCTTAAGTGAGATACTTCTCATACGATATACAAGTAAACTTATTTTAACAGTAGTTTGTCTACATGATCTGCCTCTGGATAATGTGTTGTCCATATCTCACTAATAATGCCTGGAGAAAAAATAAACTTGAAAATGATTTCTTATGACACATTCCTACTTTTCCTTTTAATTAAGGATCAATATAGATGTAAAATAATTGAACAAATTATCAAAATCATTATCTATTTTTGCTACCTGTAGATTCAATAAATTGAGCTGGAACATGTAAAGATATTGTGTCTATATTTTTCTAAGGAAGTCCTCATAAAATGGTCTTATAATTACTCACGTTATATCTTTAACATCTAAACCACGAGAAGCTACATCAGTGGCGATTAATATTCTAGTAGCTCCTGTTTTAAAGTCTTCTAATGCAGCCTCTCTATCACATTGTTCCCTGAAACATTCATTGATAAGATCTTATTAAGAACTGTATTTTGATTATATATATGTAGGACTCAAATCTATGGTGGGTTCCAGATCTATGGCAGATTCCTAATCTATGGTAAATATGACGTCATGCCATTCCCAATCTATGGCTGATTTTTTAGAACCCTAATCTATGGCAGTGTTTTATTATTTTCCTAACCTAAGGCAACTTTTTTTCAGTATCCTAATCTATTGCGGATTTCTAGATTTCAAATCAATGACAGATTTTCTGCAAAGGTCGGACCAGTCAGTATATATCTGACCAATGATCAATGATTTCGAGGTCGAAATGTCCAAAGGTAGCGAAAGAGCTGCTTTTAAGTAAAAACCAGTACATTGTAAAAGAAAAACAAAATATGACTATTACTAGGAAGCATATCCATAACCGTTTGTAAAATGAACACAGACTTTAGGGTTGAAATCATGTGCCCCGGAAGGATAAGTATTTTCTACTCTGTGCATGGTACCTGCATGCTTGACCCATTATTTAACCAACACAAAATGTAGTTTGAATTTTTAACAAATATCTATTTGACTTTGAGCGTTAGATAATTTAAATTTTGTTTGACTGATGACGATGTAAGTCCTGTCATGAACATTGACTCGCCTCCAACCCCTGACATTATAAAATAAAATCCTTATTTCTCCAACAGTACAGTTATTCGCATATTTATAGCGGGGAAAACATTAATATTATTAATATCTATAAGAAATCTATGACATATTTTTTTCTCTCCACTGAATCTCAAGAAAGATTATTTGCTACAACAGTCCAGGTAGTCACTGTTATATATACATATTTACATATAATCTATGGTATTGTAAATTCAGAAATTATTGTGAGGTTTTTATTTATACCAATAATGCACCTGGGTGAGTATTGCAATAATAAGAACTCACAATTTGATATCTGATACATATATCTGTATGCAGCTTTTCCCAAAATCGCAATAATTAACCTCGCATTTTTGTCCATTATTTAAAAATCGCCATAATAAATGTTCATAACAATTATTTCTGAATTTACAGTACTGAATACAGGACTGGGTTTCTCAGGTTTTGAGATGGGATGTAGCTGAGAAACTTCTTTGAGATGTAAGACCATAGATAATCTATCTATCACTATTTGCGTAGGCAATGCCAGTGATGTCGGGTTATGACGTCATCATGTTCTCACTCTAATCAACTAAAACCATTCTCAGTATCTAGAGATGGAAAATTATCACATCCAAAGATCAAAGCATAATTAAAGAAAGTAGCCATAATGCCTAAACAAATAAAAAATTAACAGACGTAGGTCTAAAACAACAATTACTTTACACTTTATCGATATTACTGGCCATCACAGAAATTTACCCCTAAAATGTTGATGTCATAAGAGAAAAAGTCTGACATCAATGCAAAAATGATAGTTGTATGACTTCAATAGTTTATGTGTCACATAGTCTCTTGTCATTTGTTACAGCTTCCCAAATTAGCGACAATGTCTATTAATATATCAAGCAAGTTTTTATAAACTATCCTCTTAACAATTTTTATTGATTTTACTTTATTCATGTTAATGAGTTTAATCCACATATTTTTTCCTCTTACCTGTCACCATGGATACATTGACAGTCTACTCCTAACAGACTAAGATCACTGGATAAATGATCACACCTAAAATATAAATATAATAAAGTAATTCAGGTGTTATTTCATAAAAACAATTACCCCCACATTAACTTCACTGAAGGAGTGAGCATATGGTTAAAAACTTACAAAAGAATTTTCCTTGTTAAAACCTTTATTTTTTGTTGGTGGTTTACTGATTTTTTTTACGGACAATAAAAAAAAGTGAAAACAGGACATCTTTTAAAATAAGCAATAAATTCCATTATAGATATCAAAATTTGCCAGTTCATTGTATGAACAAAAGGTATAAAGACAGACATTTGCAATGACATAAACTGCAAATACATCCATGCAGTTTACCATTATAATTTGCTAGATGATGCTTCTTTTGAAATGAAAAAATGTGATGGCTACCTCAGAAAATGCTAGCAAGGCATTTGTGAACTTATCAAGATCATAGAGCATTAAAGATAAGGAAAAGGTTGATGGAAACTTAATATATTGTTCTTTTAAAAAATTCATATTCTTACAGGTGTTGGCATTGTATTTCCCATATACACATGTAATTGAAGTTTCTGGGCACTAATCTAATTTATTTTATTGGGGGTTTCTATCAGATGATTGCTATCTTGGCACCATGAGCAATGTTCTATGGAAATGCACATAATGATTACTTAAAACGTTTTCCTAAAACTTGTAGTTATTACTTACATCAATTTCTTACCAACAAACACTATAACTTTATCTTCAGGAAGGAATTCCTCTTCAATGAACTGTAACAACTAAAATCAAATGAGTGGAAAGTTTGAAAATAATCTTTTCAAAAAATAAATAGCTTAATTACATTTATTTCTAAGTACTGTAAATTCAGAAATACTGGTGACAAAGTTGAGGTCACTTTTGTCGTTTCAGAGCTATAGCCCTTCATTGCTTTAACAATGACTCTTATTAATGTAATCGAAACCCGGTCCACAGTCATTTTGAAAGCCACTTGTTTCATCTATTTCCAAAAATAAAATAACTCTAAATTGAAACAGTATATGGGAAAAAACACACAGTTTCTGATCAAATACTATATTCAGAAATTACTACTTGCATTTATTATTAAGATTTTTGAAGAAAGGGCAAAAATGTGAGTTCTTATTATTGAGATTCTCACCTAGTCGTATTATTCACATACAATGGTAATAAGAGAATGTATGGTATTTATACATACCCTATCTTTCTTATCATCATCATCAACCAATTCAACTCTCTGATGTACAGAATGAACAGCCTATAAAAACAAATCACCTTTTAAACAAGAAATTTACAAAATATACATCAGTACAGTGTAAAAAATTAAAACTTAACCAAGCGAATGACAAACTAATGCTAAATCAGAAATTAATGCAATGTTGTTTTTTTATTGCAAAATACAACAGGAAAAACTTATGCTTTAATTCTTGCTAATAAAATTCTACTATAACTTGTACAGAAATTGCATTATTGTCATTTGCTGAAATTAGAATTTACAGTGTATAAATTTTGCTCGATTTGTTTGAATAAAGGATTTGATTAATTTCCTTCTTTGCTTCCATTCCATGTTGTTTTTTTAATAGATTTAAAGTTTGTTTGACTAATAAATAACATTTTCTTAAAAGTAGTATCATAGATAGACTTGACGGTACTCCTGTATTCAATTATTTATTGGTAACTGTGTTTGGACAATAAATACAAGCAATTCTAAGTTGCCACGTATTTACTCTAAATAACAATAAAAGATGACAAATCTTCCTGGAGTAAGTCTGTTTAATTTAAAATTCCATGTCAAACCAGGCTGTGTCGAAAAATACCTGAAGTACTAACATTGAACTATGGTAACGACGATTAAATGTATTTTGCAATCATAACGTATTTATTGAGATTCCACAACAGGCTGTTCATTTGTATTAAAATACTTACTGCTAAATCTAGACTTCCTACAAATACTTGTATAGGATCCTTTAGATAGCTTCCACCTAGACGTCGTACACCTTCTGGCCATGTAGCACTGAAAAGTATTTACTTTTTATCAATGTTCATATGTATACTCAATTGCATATGAAGATGTCAAATATAAATTTTTTTTTTACATAAGGTCCAGAATATATCTCTACTGGCTATTTAAGTTTTCAACCCTAATAGTTCACAAGTTTGCAGTGACATACAACAGAGTTAATCTATATCAGCCAAAATCATTATAAAAATAAGGATATGAGGTATGATTGCCAATGAGACAACTATTCACCAAAGTTCTAATAAAGTGGATGTAAGCAATTATAGGCAACCGTAGGAGTATAAAATAGGACTTTACTAGTTAATGTCAATTTCAAATTGAGAATAATTTTAGCAAAGATGTTTTCTTACCTGGTCATGACAGTCTGTCTATCTGGACGGATATCTAACAATATTTTCTTTATCTCTGGTTCAAAGCCCATGTCTAACATTCTATCTGCTTCATCTAATATCTATAAATTGATTGATTGAGGATTGTTGAATGTTCAGTGGCAAGAAATTCATAAATATTCAGAACATTAACATTAATATTAAAGACATTATACTACAGTATACACCAACAAGCAGAGGATCACAATTCTGACAACACAAAAACCTGTCACCCTCTTCTGACACATTCTTCTTACTCAAAGTTGATCAATGCTTGCTCTTAATCTTGAATGCTTTTAAAGTCTTGCTTTGACTTGGCTATGAATTGAACCCATGACCGTCTGCTCCAAGGGTTCCGGAAACAGTCATATTTGCCAGTCATGTCCTAAGATGAAAGCTATATGTCCTAAACGAGTAATTGGGATTTAGGACAAATTTTATTTTTTAAAAGAAATAATTTCGGTCATTTCATTGACCTAATGTTTGAAATCGGGTTACTTAATCGCCATTTTCCACTTGTGATCACTTGTTTTTGTTTATAATCAATTTCCTGTAATAAAACTGTCACTCCAGTAGTTTGATAATCCTGAGGGCCCTTCTTATATCTATATCAATGCCTCTGGGAAACATTGGCTAATGATCGCTAATCACTTTTTACCTGTGGTTTTAATTCACACCTGACAATTGGTCACAATGATCACAAGCTCAGAATAATATCTTTAAGAAATTAAAATTCCCTGACAAGTGTATTCATTATTTAATTACTTTCAGCAAAGACAATCATTAATTCTGATTTAAAAATAAACCTTACTTTAATTGACGTAGAAAAAAGTATTTTTTCATGAGTAACACATGTGCTTTATTTACTATGTAATACGCATGCGTGAAATTGTCTTCAGCAAATTAAATATTTAATCGTAAAATGCAAATTGATTTCATGTTAAAATAAACGAGTGCAACTATAATCTGTTATATTCAAACACTTTTAAAGGTAATAAAATAAAAAGAAACCGGTGATTTCCTGTCAATTTGATAAACAAAAGGAATCCCGGAAATGAATCCGGAATAATTCGTACTTTAATGTTATCGCAAAACTTCCGGTTTTAATTTTGTCAAATCGAAAGAAATGTAAGCAATGTCTGAGAAATTAATCATTTTGAGTCATTAAAATCATTTCAATTTTAAACTGTTGCCTTCCCTAAACTGTTCTTGAAGGTTTTTAGAAAAATGGTAAGAAATTTACTTAGTAAATGCGATGAAACATCAATACAAGTTCGTTGATGCTATGAATCTAGTTTGACATCAACAATTTGAAAGGGGCACCAACTTTTCAATCATCTCAAAACGACCGAAATTGTGTGAAAAAATTTCCGGATCCTTGGTCTGCTCCCAAGAGGAACACACTACATGTATCACAAAATCATCAAGGCAGTCAGTACTTAAAGGTTATAATATTACAGTACAAATTTGGATAGCTCCATTTAAACATTTATCTTATATTGATCACTTTAATAAATGTGTCAATCAAAACTGTTTATAACACCTTCAGGCTTCTTCATTTTTTCAATGTTTATACAAAACACTTTTGCAAAATCTATTTTTAAAAATAAAAAAAGCTCCACCTGAAGCAGGATAATTAATGATATAAAAGATGCAAGTAAAACAAGAAATTACTAGTTTAAAAGGTTAAAACCTTTATCTCCTTGGAAAATGTTTGACCTGGAATTATTATTCTTCATATTTTATAAGGTACACTTAATCATAGGTCAATAAATAGGCTACTTTTATGAAGTTTGGTTTCAACTAACCCAAATAATTCAGTCGTAACATTCTGCTGATCTACGATTATTCCATTAACGCCTGAATGCATTCACAATGAAAAATCTTCAATCAATCATTTGGAATTAGCTCGGGATTTACCTATCTCGATAAAATTGAGCTGATTGCTGATTGGTCACCTCTTCTACAGGGCACACATCAAAATCCAGGATTCGTGAAGAGTTTTTATTGTGTAAGGAGTTCAGGCCCTCGCAAGTAGGAGAGATCGATTACGGGGAGGGACTGAATTATTCAGGTTAGGTTTCAACTGGTTCACCTTTCTTTTTGAAGATATCTGAAATCTAGTTCAATCTGACTACTTAGGACTTCCATTTAGTCCCTTGGAGCCATATCTGACTTTACATGAGGACCAAAGTAACAACAGTATAAAACAAAATACCTTCTAAAACACATTTCTACATGGTTTGATTTGATTTCACTTCTTTTTAGACCACATTCAGCGTGACTGGCATCTTATCTTTTCTGTTATAACAGCTTTAAAACCCATGGCCTTCTACCATGTGATTTAAAATTGTACAATGCAAAATAAAACACATCACAATGTTTAACATATGATTTAAACTTACCAAATATGTGACAGATTTGACATTGACTATCTTGTTCATGACTAAATCATTCAATCTACCAGGTGTGGCTACAATAATCTCTACGCCCTTCGTGACAACATTGATCTGTTCTCGTCTATTTCCACCACCATATACACAAACACTGAAACAAAGTTTTTTAAAAGACAATATTCAATGTAGGGTAAGTCAATACTCCTTTATAGTTACAGGTTATCCTTTCTTACAAGGAATGTGTAATAAAAGCTTAACAATCTCCATAGAAAAAATATATTTTCATGATGATGATGGACTTCATTTTCATTTCCAGCACATTACAAAAAAATAAATGTGGATAGTGTCCACATGTGGACAAAGATGATGCCCCCCCTTGTATAGCATATAGTTATAAAGGGACATAACTGAAGAACGGTAAAAGTGACGCTACCCAAATTTGAACTTGATCTGAGTTTTGTGGTAATAAGCATTGTGTGTAAGTCTCATAACATTTGGTTGAGGCTAACTTAAGTAGAGAACAGAAACTAAAAATTCAGCAATTTTTCTATTTGTAAACACGCATAACTCTAGAACGGTTGTGTATAAGTTTTATAACATTTGGTTGAGACAAACTAAAGTAAGAGAACGGAAACGAAAAATTTGTACTTGATCTTAGTTTTGTGGTAATGAATATTGTGTATAGGTTTCATAATGTTTGGTTGGGGCAAACTTAAGTTACAGAATGGAAACTAAAAATTTTGCAATCTTTCGATTTATAAAGGGGCATAACTCAATAATGGTTAAAGTGACACTACCCAAATTCAACTTGATCTGCGTTTTATCAGTGGAAGTCAAAATTAAACATTGCATTGTATAAAGCATTGATTGTAGTTGATTCAACTATAATCATGGACAAAGGATGATAACTCCAATTTTAAAAATAACTTGATATTTAGAAGAAAATAAAAATTTTGCAATTTTTTCATTTATAAAGGGGCATAACTCTAGAACAGTAAAAGTGAAACCACCAAAATTCAAACTTGATCTGTGTTTTGTGGTAATAAGCATTGTGTATAAGTTTCATAGCATTTGGTTGAGGCAAACTTAAGTTAGAGAATGGAAACTAAAAATTTTGCAATTTTTCCATTTATAAAGGGGCATAACTCTAGAACGGTTGAAGTGATGCCACCAAAATTCAAACTTGATCTGTGTATTGTAGTAATAAGCATTGTGTATAAGTTTCATAACATTTGGTTGAGGCAAACTCAAGTTAGAGAACGGAAACGAAAAATTCAGCAATTTTTCCATTTATAATGGGGCATAACTCTAGAACGGTTACAGTGACGCCACTAAATTCAAACTTGATCTGTGTTTTGTGGTAATAAGCATTGTGACTTAGTTTCATAACATTTGGTTGAGGCAAACTCAAGTCAGAGAACGGAAACCAATTTTAGGATGTACGTACATGAACGTACGTACAGACGGACAAGGGTAAAACTTAATGCCCCCACCGCTACGGCGGGGGCATAAAAATATTTTAAACACAGTTTTGATATAATCAAAAATATTTAATTAGTAAATTTATGAAAACTTCAGAATAGTTATGGGTTTTTCCTATGTTAGATTACCCTTTTTGGTATCTTAAACTAGATGTGTCAGTATGACACGAACCATTGCCTGCAGCTTAATTGTTAAAATGTACGTTTATAGGAATTCAAGTAAAGTTGAGGTATCAGGGATGTTAAATGGCAACACCATGCTCATGGGTTTATAGTGTGGCAACTATAGCAAAACTCAGAATGTTAAATGGCAACACCATGCTCATGGGTTTATAGTGTGGCAACTATAGCAAAACTGAGAAATTCATTATGCATTTGTTGAATGGGAAAGTCACTCAACCTGAAAGGACAAATGATGAACACCAGAAATAATATTAAAACTTAAATTTCATGAGAAGTCGAACACAAACATGATCTAAACAGTATAAAGAAGTGTTACAAAAATCAGCTGAAGTACTGCAGGCATAGTTAAAAATAGTCAGGACCAGTTCTATTTTATGAAATTTTCCAACTCTGTAATTTCGTCAAAAGTCAATCAACTAGAACACATGCAACTTAACCTGTAAATCATCATTATACACTAATGTACCAAAAATCAGCTCCAAATCTGCAGGCATAACAAAAGCATCCTGTCAAGTACTATTTATCAACAAATTTTTTTTGTAATAAATCATGTCACTGACTACTGGGCTGATGATACCCTCAGATAACAGTCAGCCAGCATCATTAATATAAATTCATATTCTATTTTCTTAAATAATCTTTCAATAAAATGCTCCGCAGGGCGCAGCTTGATACGACCGCAGAGGTCGAACCCTGAACAGTTGGGGCAAGTATGGACACAACATTCAAGCTTGATACAGCTCTGAATTTGGATTGTGATTAAATATTTGACACAGCATAGGTTTCTGACACAGAATGAATGTGGTCTAAGAACTTAAAAATTTTAAATTGGACATTCACCTATTATGGTCCAATATCCAAAATCTAAATACATGGTTAGATTCAGCATATCAAAGAACCCCAAGAATTCAATTTTTGATGAAATCAAACAAAGTTTAATTTTGGACCCTTTTGATCTCAATGTGGACAAAGTTGATAACGGGGCCCAAAAATCAAAAATCTAAATACATGGTTAGATTCAGCATATCAAAGAACCCCATATATTCAATTTTTGTTGAAATCAAATAAAGTTTAATTTTGGACCCCGATTTGGACCAACTTGAAAACTGGGCCCATAATCAAAAATCTAAACACATGTTTAGATTCAGCATATCAAAGAACCCTAAAAATTCAATTTTTGTTAAAATCAAACTAAGTTTAATTTTGGACCCTTTGGACCTTTATGTAGACCAATTTGAAAATGGAACCAAAAATTAAGAATCTAAATACACGGTTAGTTTCGGCATATCAAAGAACCCTAAAAATTCAATTTTTGTTAAAATCAAACTAAGTTTAATTTTGGACCCTTTGGACCTCAATGTGGACCAATTTAAAAACGGGGCCCAAAATCCAAAAACTTAATACACGGTTATATTCAGCATATGAAAGAACCCCATATATTCAATTTTTGTTGAAATCAAACAAAGTTAAATTTTGGACCCCGATTTGGACCAACTTGAAAACTGGGCCCATAATCAAAAATCTAAATACATGGTTAGATTCAGCATATCAAAGAACCCCATATATTCAATTTTTGTTGAAATCAAATAAAGTTTAATTTTGGACCCCGATTTGGACCAACTTGAAAACTGGGCCCATAATCAAAAATCTAAATACATGGTTAGATTCAGAATATCAAAGAACCCCATATATTCAATTTTTGTTGAAATCAAACTAAGTTTAATTTTGGACCCTTTGGACCTTTATGTAGACCAATTTGAAAACGGAACCAAAAATTAAGAATCTAAATACACGGTTAGATTCGGCATATCACAGAACCCCAATAATTCAATTTTTGATGAAATCAAACAAAGTTAAATTTTGGACCCTTTGGACCTCAATGTGGACCAATTTAAAAACAGGGCCCAAAATCCAAAAACTTAATACATGGTTAGATTCAGCATATTAAAGAACCCCAAGAATTCAAGAATAAAACCCCATTGAAATTGATCAAGAAATAAGCAATTTATACAAAGTATATTCTTTTGCACAATACTGTGCAATTGATTATTTCTTGCTATTGCGCAATACTGTACAATTGACAATTTCTTGCTATTGCCCAATATTGTGCTATTGGATATTTCTTGCTATTGCGCAATACTGTGCAATTGAAGATTTCTTGCTATTGCGCAATACTGTGCAATTGAAGATTTCTTGCTATTGTGCAATACTGTGCAATTGAAAATTTCTTGCTATTGCACAATACTTATTGTATAATAATTTACACATCCTGTTTGGTGTGTATTTCCTACCATATCATTATTATTTGCTTTTAAATATAAATCAGAAATAACCAACTTAAAATGGAAAATTTTAAAAGAAAAAAAAAAGGAAAAAAAGAAAAAAAAAAGAAACCCCCCCCCCAAATTTTTTGAACCCCCTTATGATTCATCACCCCCAAACTCAATCCCAGCCTTCCCTTTGTGGTATGGTATCTTGCAGTACAATTTCAGAGAGATCCATACAATTGAACACAAGTTATTGTCTGGAAACTAGAAAAATGCTTATTTTTGGCCCCTTTTTGGCCCCCAATTCCTAAACGTTTCGGGCAATTACCCCCAAACTCAATTCCAGCTTTCCCTTTGTGATATGGAACCTTGTAGAACAATTTAAGAAATATCCAAACACTTACACACAAGTTATTGTCATGAAACTAGAAAAATGCTTGTTTTTTGCCCCTTTTTTGGCCCCTTATCTTAAAATTTTGAGGCAATTACCCCCAAAATCAATTACAGCCTTCCCTATGTGATATGGAACCTTGTGGTACAATGTCAGAGATCCATACACTTACACACAAGTTATTGTCTGGAAGTTACAAAAATGCTTATTTTTGGCCCCTTTTTGGCCCCTAATTCCTTAACTGTTGGTACCATAACCCCCAAAATCAATCCCAACCTTCCTTTCATGGTATTGAACCTTATGGTAAAATTTCATGGAGATCCATTAACTTAAACTAAAGTTAGAGTGCGAAAACTAATGTGTCTTCGGACGACGCCGGACGACGACGACGACGACGACGCCAACGTCAACGTCATACCAATATACGACCAAAAAATTTTCAATTTTTGCGGTCGTATAAAAACTGCAAAAATTTTACAACTTGCCATTATATGTGGGGAAAGAAGAAAAGTAAAACTTATCTTAATAAAAAATGAATGGGGGATGTGTCCATCGGATACAGATGATGCCCCCATTTGCATAAAACGTTATAAAGGGACATAATAATTTTCATTTACCTGTGTTTAAAGTAATTGCAAATGGCTGATATTTTTGTTCAAGCATATTGTTTTTCTTAAATTGTTTAACATTTCACAGCGGTATAACATGTTATTTTAATTATTCTTCCCTTAGTTTATTTATTTTGTATTTACATTGTATCATACATCAAATTTATTTGTTCAGTATACATGTATGTTCACTGGTGTTAATATGTCTTTTGATTGAGTTAAGCCATTTCAATTGATATTTTATAGTGTGTCTTTCTATGATGTGATGTTACACTATTGTTTCAGAAAAAGGGTGAAGATTTGGTACCATTAAAACGTTTAAACCCGCTGCAATTGTTTGCACCTGTCCTAAGTCAGGAATCTGATGTTCAGTAGTTGTCATTTGTTGATGTGGTTCATAAGTGTTTCTCGTTTCTCGTTTTTTATATAGATTAGACCGTTGGTTTTCCTGTTTGGTTTTACACTAGTAATTTTTGGGGCCCTTTATAGCTTGCTGTTCGGTGTGAGCCAAGGCTCCGTGTTGAAGACCGTACTTTGACCTATAATGGTTTACTTTTATAAATTTTGACTTGGATGGAGAGTTGTCTCATTGGCACTCATACCACATCTTCTTATATCTAATTACTCATGAATGGTAAAAGTGACGCTACATAAATTCTTACTTGATCTGAGTTTTGTGGTAATAAGCATTGTGTATATGTTTCATAACATTTGGTTTAGGCAAACTAAAGTTAGAGAACGGAAACCAATTTCGGGACGTACAGACGGACAAGGGTAAAACTTAATGCCCCTCCACCATGGCATAAAAATTAGCTCAATCTTTCCAACCCTTTATAGTGTTACTGTTCAATCAATTATTCAACAGAAGTTAAATCAATGATTTGGATAATCTCACCTTTTAATACCTTTGTAGTCAAACTTTTTAACTTCTGTTTCAATCTGAAGAGCTAATTCTCTGGTGGGAGACAGAACTAAAACATTTGGCCCTCCTCTTTCTTCCCTAGGTCTGAAATAAATCAATGAAAAGGACATTTATTTTATAAATAGTTAAACAAAGGGTTTATTACTCAAACTGATCTATCTATTTCATTCTCCTTCACATTTGGAGAGACCCTATTTATCAAAAATAACAAAAAAGAAAATAGTAGGGTGCCCAATGTCCAAAAAGTCCTCTAATTAACGAGTTCAAGTTAACGGATAACACACGGCTATTTTTTTTTGCAAATTATAGGAAAATCATTATATTTTACAATCATGATTGTCGTCGTAAGTTCCCATGGTCACGATTTTCTAAATTTTGTGTTTTTACAGGGTACCGCCAGATACCGTATTGTACATGGAATCTTTAACACGAAAAATATAATTATTACGCTCTTTGTTCGTGGTTAAAATAGTACTTATAATACAGTTTATACATTAAATTTATCATATAACAAAAGCCGAAAGTATTTAAGTGATTTAAGTATAATTATTTCAGCATTTTATTAAGACTAAAATTTTACCTGAAATTTACCGCATTTTCATCGAAAGCAAAATTATTACGTGTATCATCACGATATTTTTTACCTTTATTAAAGCAATAAGGCACGGTGCATGTGTGTGCCAAATTTCATGTGTGAAATAAAAGTAGTTTTGAAGAAATTAGCAATTAAAAATACAAATTAAGTCAACATTTTGGCATTGATTAAACACGGATTAGCCCGTGACATCAATCATTTTGTTGCTTACACTATTAGGTCATTAAGAAGGACAGTGGTCACTCAATACATTTCTCATTTTTGCTTGTTGTGTGGTTTATTTATTTGTTTTGACTAGCCAGCTAACTTTGTAAATTGTTATTATCTTCGAAGGAATATGTTTTGTGTCTGTTTTTTGAAAACTTTTTATTGAATAGATATTTTTGTTATAATTGTAGTATAAGAATCAAATCGGTCAGTTTCGTTTCACACCCGGAATATGGCACATCAAGTCTATGTTATGGTCTTGCATGATGTTTTCGACCTAAATTCCCCTCGGTGTGAACGACAACAAAAATGTATCACCGTTCGTGCTATAAATTATACACCAACAGACAGAACTGCAATAATTTCACAGCTGAATTGGCAATAGGTTTGTCCCAGCAAACCACTAAAACCTATATGTGCCAAGCTGGCAGCAGGATAAAAATTTCTGGATTGACCATTATTTTTCATCGCTTGCTACGCATGCTTATTTTATTTTCTCTTTTGTACACATTTATATCCTCAAATATCCTGCATTTCATGTTGCGGAGTATTAATTTTCATCCGGTCTTGTGCAAATTCATTTATTTTCAGTTCATACCAGGCCAAGTTATTGATTTTCAAAATCCTCCTCCCCTCCCTCCTTTCGATATCAAATGGTCGTCCCCTTTCTGAAAGCTGATGAAAGGACATCATCAATTTATAGTCTAAGAAAAGTATGATCATAAACATCATTACTGTAAAAACTAGGATTCTACTGGTACAGCATGTTTTACTAACTGACTGAATTATGTCAATTATACATTATTTATATGCCTGTCCCAATTCAGGATCGAGTCGGTATTTGAGTGGTTGTTGTTGGTTCATGTCTGTCAATTTTTTTTGTTATAAATTAGGCCGTTAGTTTTCTCAAATGAATTGTTTCAATTTTTTTTATATCTAGGCCTTTTATTGCCGACCATACAGTATGGTTTTTCTCAATGTTGAAGGCCGTACGGTTGCCTATAACTGCTTACTTCCACATCTCCTTAGTTTATATTATACAACTACATTTTGTATTACATAAAATTAACATTATCAATGTTCCATGTAAATGAGGTAAAGTCAGATGAACTCTGCTACAAAGACTTGTACACTTTGCTACCATTCCATACACCAAATATATTTGACCGACTACTAATAGTATCTGAGATAAATTTGAGGTCGAGGTCACGTGAACCATGTATGACCGACATGTAGACCTAGCAAGGATACCACATATTAGTAACCAACTAGAGTTATCCTAGAACTCATGATAAAAGAGATGCGAAGGATACCAAAGGGACATTCTAACTCCAAAGTGAGACATTCACATGACGAAAAAAAGCTATACAGTTTTTTAGCAGTCAATAAAACAAGGAAAATGAGGTCAAGGACAATGATTATATGACAGACGGGAACTTCGTAACACAATGGATCTATAAACAAAGTGTGAATCATCCAATTCCTCTACCTTCTGAAATATAAAGATATACAAATAGTTTACGGTGTTGCCGCCGCCACCATCAGATTGTATTCTGTATGCCTCGCATTCTGCGACTTGCTTCGAATGCGATTTAAAAAAGAACAACTGAAATTAGCTCTCTAACCTAAACCTGGTCGCTGGGCTTTCAACTTACCAGTAGACAATGAAACGTAATAGCTACTGCTAGCTTCGGCAATTTTTCACTGTTTAATTCAATCTGATTAAAATTCTGATCTATATTAACTCGCGTGCTCGTATATATAAGCTCATATGGGGATAACGAAATCAGAGATCTATACTTTAATTAGATTGATGTTGTTTACAACTCTCTTTTTGCAGATAATCTGTAACTTCATGTCAATTGTAGGCCAATTTATGCTCAATAAGGCATATAATTGTGTAAGATGGAGTGATTAACCTGTTTCTAGGTGTCATTTTGTTTTCATATATACTTTAACAGAAACCCTCCCCCTTTTTCACCGTTTGCAGTCTTTCTTATTTCTATACAGGAAAGATATACTCAGACCTGCGTTAATATTACACCAGTTTTGGAACTAAGTACAATTGTATGTGCTCCACACTCACCAAAAGAAAATTGGATATTTCCCGAGAAAATCATAACGAACACCTTCTATCAAACGACGGAAACAACATTTTTGGAGGGCAACTTATAAATGTTAATATCTAAAAAAAACATCTCCAGAGATCGCTTGTATCGAATCTTATGTAAAAATTTCGATTTTGGAAATTTTAATAGGTCAAGGTCAGTTATTTAACAGCTGAATGAAAATTGTAAATGTGCACCTTATAAGTACAAATGTAAATCTCGAACCATATTTGGCAACATAAATATTTAATTAGTCCTAAATATAGAAACTACAGTTATAATCCTTTGAATTATTCGAATTTATTCTGCTGTAAACGCATTTATGTAGGGCGACCAGCTATCTAAACATGACTCTCATTTTCCTTGAAATTTTAGCTTTGACCTTTGTCCTAATTTTAAGAAAATCGTGACCACTGTAGACAACGACGACATCAATATTTGGATGAGGCTTGTTCTCCTCTTTCCAATGATATCAAATACAGCCGTGTGTTATTCCGTTAACCCAAATCGATCAAATTCATTGACTGGACACCCTACTAAAATGGGTGCATAGGACACCATGCCCCATTCCATGCTGAGAGACCATAAAAACCATTCAAAATTAAAGTTCTAATGTAATGTTCTTAAGTGTTAAACTATAAATGGAAATAGGTGTCTGACAAATCTACACTCACAAGTTACAACTCATCAATGTCAAGCTGCTGTCTCACGATCAATTCATTCTGTAAAGTAGTACTGGAACAATGTGTGAAGAAAATTTTATATTCATTAACATATTGAAAATTTTAAAAAATCAACAAACAGGAAGTACCAGTAGGTGTCAGAAAGGGGGTAAAAAAAATGTTCCTATTCATCCTTACTAAATAAAAGAAGAATGTGTCTGAGGACACGAATTCCCAAGCTCAAGCTTTGCAATTTTCCAAGTTAAAAAGGGGCATAACTCTAAAACAGTAAATGACATACAACCCAAATTTAAACTGTGTCTGAGTGTTGTGGTTCTTAGCATTGTGTATGAATTTCATAAAATTTGGATGAGACAAACTTGTTAGAGTATGGAAACGATAAAATTTGCAAATTTCCAAGTTATACAGGGGCATAACTCTAGAACGGTAAGTGACTGACTGCCCAAATTCAAACTCTGTCTGCTAGATTTTGTTTTTAGCATTGTGTATATTAAGTTTCATAACATTTGGATGTGGAAAACTTAAGCTAGAGTGCAGAAAGGAAAATTGATACGGAGGGACAAGGGTAATACTTAATGCCCCCGCCTATGGTGGAGGCATAAAAACTAAAACGCCTGTCTGCCCTTATTGTTTCAATAAAAAATGTTGTGAATATGTTAATCGTTTTGTGTGTTCCGGGATGATTGTAATAATTATTAAATATTCTTGACATTGTCTGTATGTTATACTTACATAGGTTGGTTATCTATATGTATAAAAGCTGGTAGAAGAAAAGCTAATGTCTTCCCTGTTCCTGTCTGCAGAAAAGAAGATCAAATTTAGATACACGGGTAGATATTACATCATGATCAGCTATTATATCTGTTGAAATGTTTTACTTGAATCATAAGAATGATGAAATGCTCCGCAGGGCGCAGCTTGATACGACCGCAGAGGTCGAACCCTGAACAGTTGGGGCAAGTGTGGACACAACATTCAAGCTTGATACAGCTCTGAATTTGGATTGTGATTAAATATTTGACACAGCATAGGTTTCTGACACAGAATGAATGTGGTCTAAGAACTTAAAAATTTTAAATTGGACATTCACCTATTATGGTCCAATATCCAAAATCTAAATACATGGTTAGATTCAGCATATCAAAGAACCCCAAGAATTCAATTTTTGATGAAATCAAACAAAGTTTAATTTTGGACCCTTTTGATCTCAATGTGGACAAAAATGATAACAGGGCCCAAAAATCAAAAATCTAAATACATGGTTAGATTCAGCATATCAAAGAACCCCATATATTCAATTTTTGTTGAAATCAAACAAAGTTTAATTTTGGACCCCGATTTGGACCAACTTGAAAACTGGGCCCATAATCAAAAATCTAAATACATGTTTAGATTCAGCATATCAAAGAACCCTAAAAATTCAATTTTTGTTAAAATCAAACTAAGTTTAATTTTGGACCCTTTGGACCTTTATGTAGACCAATTTGAAAACGGAACCAAAAATTAAGAATCTAAATACACGGTTAGATTCGGCATATCAAAGAACCCCAATAATTCAATTTTTGATGAAATCAAACAAAGTTAAATTTTGGACCCTTTGGACTTCAATGTGGACCAATTTAAAAACGGGGCCCAAAATCCAAAAACTTAATACACGGTTAGATTCAGCATATTACAGAACCCCATATATTCAATTTTTGTTGAAATCAAACAAAGTTTAATTTTGGACCCCGATTTGGACCAACTTGAAAACTGGGCCCATAATCAAAAATCTAAATACATGGTTAGATTCAGCATATCAAAGAACCCCAATAATTCAATTTTTGATGAAATCAAACAAAGTTTAATTTTGGACCCTTTTGATCTCAATGTGAACAAAAATGATAACAGGGCCCAAAAATCAAAAATCTAAATACATGGTTAGATTCAGCATATCAAAGAACCCCATATATTCAATTTTTGTTGAAATCAAACAAAGTTTAATTTTGGACCCCGATTTGGACCAACTTGAAAACTGGGCCCATAATCAAAAATCTAAATACATGTTTAGATTCAGCATATCAAAGAACCCTAAAAATTCAATTTTTGTTAAAATCAAACTAAGTTTAATTTTGGACCCTTTGGACCTTTATGTAGACCAATTTGAAAACGGAACCAAAAATTAAGAATCTAAATACAAGGTTAGATTCGGCATATCAAAGAACCCCAATAATTCAATTTTTGATGAAATCAAACAAAGTTAAATTTTGGACCCTTTGGACTTCAATGTGGACCAATTTAAAAACGGGGCCCAAAATCCAAAAACTTAATACACGGTTAGATTCAGCATATTACAGAACCCCATATATTCAATTTTTGTTGAAATCAAACAAAGTTTAATTTTGGACCCCGATTTGGACCAACTTGAAAACTGGGCCCATAATCAAAAATCTAAATACATGGTTAGATTCAGCATATCAAAGAACCCCATATATTCAATTTTTGTTGAAATCAAACAAAGTTTAATTTTGGACCCCGATTTGGACCAACTTGAAAACTGGGCCCATAATCAAAAATCTAAATACATGGTAAGTTTCAGCATATCAAAGAACCCCATATATTCAATTTTTGATGAAATCAAACAAACTTTAATTTTGGACCCTTTTGATCTCAATGTGGACAAAGTTGATAACGGGGCCCAACAATCAAAAATCTAAATACATGGTTAGATTCAGCATATCAAAGAACCTCATATATTCAATTTTTGTTGAAATCAAACAAAGTTTAATTTTGGACCCCGATTTGGACCAACTTGAAAACTGGGCCCATAATCAAAAATCTAAATACATGGTTAGATTCAGCATATCAAAGAACCCCATATATTCAATTTTTGTTGAAATCAAACAAAGTTTAATTTTGGACCCCCATTTGGACCAACTTGAAAACTGGGCCCATAATCAAAAATCTATATACATGGTTAGATTCAGCATATCAAAGAACCCCATATATTCAATTTTTGTTGAAATCAAACTAAGTTTAATTTTGGACCCTTTGGACCTTTATGTAGACCAATTTGAAAACAGAACCAAAAATTAAGAATCTAAATACACGGTTAGATTCGGCATATCAAAGAACCCCAATAATTCAATTTTTGATGAAATCAAACAAAGTTAAATTTTGGACCCTTTGGACCTCAATGTGGACCAATTTAAAAACGGGGCCCAAAATCAAAAAACTTAATACACGGTTAGATTCAGCATATTAAAGAACCCCAAGAATTCAAGAATAAAACCCCATTGAAATTGATCAAGAAATAAGCAATTTATACGAAGTATCTTCTTTTGCACAATACTGTGCAATTGATTATTTCTTGCTATTGCGCAATACTGTACAATTGACAATTTCTTGCTATTGCGCAATATTGTGCTATTGGATATTTCTTGCTATTGCGCAATACTGTGCAATTGAAGATTTCTTGCTATTGCGCAATACTGTGCAATTGAAGATTTCTTGCTATTGTGCAATACTGTGCAATTGAAAATTTCTTGCTATTGCACAATACTTATTATATAATAATTTACACATCCTGTTTGGTGTGTATCTCCTACCATATCATTATTATTTGATTTTAAATATAAATCAGAAATAACCAACTTAAAATGGAAAATTTTAAAAGAAACAAAAAAGGAAAAAAAGAAAAAAAAGGAAAAAAAAATAAATCCCCCCCCAAAATTTTTTGAACCCCCATTATGATTCATCACCCCCAAACTCAATCCCAGCCTTCCCTTTGTGGTATGGTACCTTGCAGTACAATTTCAGAGAGATCCATACACTTGAACACAAGTTATTGTCTGGAAACTAGAAAAAAATGTGTTTTTTGGCCCCTTTTTGGCCCCAAATTCCTAAACGTTTAGGGCAATTACCCCCAAACTCAAACCCAGCTTTCCCTTTGTGATATGGAACCTTGTAGTACAATTTCAGAAAGATCCATACACTTACACACAAGTTATTGTCATGAAACTAGAAAAATGCTTGTTTTTTGCCCCTTTTTTGGCCCCTAATTCCTAAAATTTGGAGGCAATTACCCCCAAAATCAATCCCAGCATTCCTTTAGTGATATGGAACCTTGTGGTACAATGTCAGAGAGATCCATACACTAACACACAAGTTATGTCTGGAAGTTACAAAAATGCTTATTTTTGGCCCCTTTTTGGCCCCTAATTCCTTTACTGTTATTACCATAACCCCCAAAATCAATCCCAACCTTCCTTTTGTGGTATTGAACCTTGTGGTAAAATTTCATAAAGATCCATTCACTTAAACTAAAGTTAGAGTGCGAAAACCAATGTGTCTTCGGACGACGCCGGACGACGACGACGCCGGACGACGACGACGACGACGACGCCAACGTCATACCAATATACGACCACAAAAATGTTTTTGCGGTCGTATAAAAATGACTCAACTGCAGGGAAACAAAATTTTTTGTGCTGAATTTTATTCAGTGACTTCCACAAACTTAAGATACTAATACATTTTCAGGGCTCACACTACTTCAGAATCATAGGGAGAAGTGACTTCTCTTTTTGAAACTGAGAGGGAGAAGTGGTGAGATTTGAGAGAGAAGTGCTCGTTCACTCGCGGCGCTACAATGTTTGGTTTTACTATAATACAAAGGGCCATATGTATCTTATTTTTTTATATTGCTCAATTTGTACCTGGGAGTACAATAAAAGTAACAGTTCAAATTCAAAGTTGTTTAATTTTATCATATCTAGTTGCACAATCATATTAGTCCTCTTGTCAGAAAAAAAAAAACAGTTTAATATCTAGCAATAATAAAAAAGATTTTTTTTATATCAAAAAGGAAAAGAAAGTTGTTATTTCAATTTAAAATATACTCTGTTATGTTTGTGAAATTCAGTGGTTAAAAGTCTCATTTAAAAGATATATAAATTTAACACAGTTAAGCTTGGACATAGTATAGTAGTCCCAGAGTTGAGCAATTTTAATTAATAAATTGAAACAATTCATATACATGGAAATATATACATTAATCAAGTAGATCTAACCAAAAGTATGTTAATAATGCGCGTGGAATGCGTAATTTTTTCCTTTTGGGATCAATATTCCTCTGTCAGCTGTGCCATTCATTCTTCAGCAGTCATTATAGTAAGAATCCAGATTTCAGTCATAGCTGGTCCGGTTCCGATCAGTAGTTTAGTGCAAATATTTCAATGGCAGACGAAGAAGAAAAATTTACAAAAATAAACGATGTTTGACACGCTATTTGGAAAGGAATATGACCTTTTTAATGCAATACATGGATAACAAATTTACTTCAGGCAAATTTCATCAGGTTGTAATGAAGTAACGAACTTATTTTGCCAAAATTAGAATGATTTGATGTACGCTCTCTAACAACTGAACAAGTACCGGAAGTGATAAAAAATAGTTTTTATGAAATAACATGCAACCAACTTTAAAATCAATGCTTTAACCTCTTTTCTGAAGAAAATAAATCGTTTATGTCTTTGAATTTCTTTACTTTTTACTGAAAAATTGCTGTTTCATTGACTTGGTAAAAATTGAATATTGCCGATGACGAAAGCGACTGAAAGTGAGTATCGTTAACCACAGGGCGACAAGTTTTTGCTTTTGAGGGTCGGGCAAAGCGAAGTGACGGACGGGAAAGCGACATCTTCGCCCTAGTTGCCTGGTAGCGTGAGCCCTGCATTTTATGATTGATATAAGAACTATACACAATTGTAATTACTATTGGTTTCATTGAAAACTACTTAATTTTTGCATTTGTCGATTTACATGTGAAAAGTTGGTGGTAGATGAGTCACATGTTTTTTTAATACTTTCTGCAAGTCATTTACACATATCAAATGTTTATTTAGGCTATTAATGCAGAATTCTGTCCCATCTGGTTGACATACAGCCTGCCATCTGATAAATATTAAATGATCTTTTATACTGTAATGTAGTGTCGTCATGATTCAGCTATAGGAGTTACTCATTTTGTCTAAGTTCTAGTATTTTGTCTTATGCTGTTATGCAGAGCCCTTAATATTAATTCATAGTACATACCTGTGCTATACCTATAAGATCTAAACCTTGTAACAATACTGGCCATGCTTGTGCCTAAAATATATAAATCAACTCACATTTATTGTTGAGAATTGAAATTTAAGAAATTCTAGAAAAAAAACATAAGCAACGTGTCTTAATTTTGCTACATGTAGTTGCAGTTTTTTTTTTTTTTTTGTTCTTTACAAGTCATTGATACAAATTTGTGCCTTTTTTATATAAAACCATATAAATTATAGAGAAAATGACATGAAAAACCTACAATTTTTTTAAACACATATTTCCAACCCAAAAAATCACATTCACATAATTGCCTTCTTTATAACACTTGAAAATAGGAATAATAAACTGTTGACACAGAGATATGTCTCACCTTTATATAATTTTGATAGTATAATGCAATAGTAAAATAACAATATTTCAAAATGTAAACTATCCAAAACATGCAAAGTAAATGAGCCATGACTGAAGGTGCAAGGCCAATTGAACACAAGAAAATGTGAAAAGCCAATGCTTAATACAAGTGCATACCAAATACCATTGATTTATCATAAGTGGTCCGAGGACACAGTTATCGTCCTTAGATTTTCGTTGTCTACAAATATAGTCCTAGTGTGGACAGTGTATAAATTGCAAATTTTTTTTCATACACTTTACAAATTTATTTCTTTATATTTTATGCATGAAATATTAAGTAAAGGGATGAAATTACATGTTAAAAAAATTTGGGTGCTGAATCTTTAGGTTAAGTAGTGATTTGGTCCAGTTCAAAAAGTTCAAACACTAGTATGTCTGAAGCTGTCAAGCTGAATTTTGACCCCCTTAACATAGAATTGTCAATATTTTGAGTTAGAGCTGGTAGACATTTCTATAATTTTGATATTATTTGTCCCAATAGTAGTATACTACACTGTAAAAATCTTTTTGAGATAGAGCATGTGCGATTTTTTTAATTTGAATTTATTGTCTAAAACAAATGCACTACGAAATAACTGTGTTCTCAGGCCTAAGAGATGAATTCAAGAAATGTAGATTCTGTACTTTGGCAACTTCCCTGAATGGTTTGCTGGTTTCAATTTGTCATACTCAATAAAAGTAAAGGATTTAAATCTTATTTGAAAGAAATTCGGTTAAAATGTCCCATTTTGGCATTATATGGGTAAAATAAGCATTTTATAGCAGTTTCCATTTATATGCCCAAGAGGCATGCTGACTTTCTATCTGACAGCTTTTTATTCTTTGATATTTGTGTTTCTATGATTAATTCAAATTCTATTAACCATTTGTGAACTCTGAATGTAGAGAAAAGTAGATTATCACAGAAAAAAATGTGCAAAATGTGTTGTAATTAGGAACTGGTCGAACGGCTTTTATGATGTATGTGAAATGTGAAGAGCTTTGTACATAAAATTTGTAGTCCTTCATGTATATTTCACTAAATCTGTAAAAAAGGGCTCTTGACAATGAATGATCTGTGCACCTTATGCATTTCATATACTACCTTTATTTTCTTCTGTAGGATAGCATGTGGTTCAAATATATGCCAGTTAAGACTAAAACTACATGCAAGTTTTCCATTGAAAAGTGAAAAAACTGTGCATCAGACCATACTGTCTGCAAAAAAAGTTGAATGCAAGAGTTCTTTTGCAATTAGACTTCTTGTATCATGACATCTTAACATAGAAATGAGTAAAAAGTAACAAATTTCCATTTCTTATAGCTTCTGTATGCATTTTTATATGTAAATATGTGCTACGGCCTAAATTGACTCTAAATAATGTTCAGTCTTGCATGACCTAAGACCATTTTATACTCATGTGGTATGCTTTTTGTAACTTTTCTTTCAATTTAAAGTACATTTAATATATATGGAAGAATAATTTATGGTAAAAAAACTTCAAAATCTTCAAATTGGTTGGAAAAAATGCATGTTTATGTAAGGCTCCCCTTAATTCGAAAATCTCAATTTTCAGGCACAGGCTCATATAAATTTGACTTTTAAATAATTGTAATAAATCTGATAAATCAAATGAGTGTTCAGTTGCTTTTAATACCTAATATATTTTATCTAAGAGCATTTAAAAAGCAAATTTTTGCAATAATTAAATTTTTAAAGCCCAAATCTTGATAGTTGAAATTATTTGATTTAAACGTCAAAATTAAACATCCAAATTTCAATATTAAAAAACAATAGTTTCTATGATATATATTCTATGGCAATGAAACTTGGCCAACTATCTTATAATTCTCTAAGCTTAGGTCATGCAAAGTTTTATTAGAATCGGTCAAGTCTTTCTATACAATTAGGTCCGAGGACACAGTTATCGTCCTTAGATTTTCGTTGTCTACAAATATAGTCCCTAGTGTGGACAGTGTATAACTTGCAAATTTTTTTTCATACACTTTACAAATTTATTTCTTTATATTTTATGCATGAAATATTAAGTAAAGGGATGAAATTACATGTTAAAAAAATTTGGGTGCTGAATCTTTAGGTTAAGTAGTGATTTGGTCCAGTTCAAAAAGTTCAAACACTAGTATGTCTGAAGCTGTCAAGCTGAATTTTGACCCCCTTAACATAGAATTGTCAATATTTTGAGTTAGAGCTTGTAGACTTTTCTATAATTTTGATATTATTTGTCCCAATAGTAGTACACTACACTGTAAAAATCTTTTTGAGATAGAGCAGGTGCGATTTTTTTAATTTGAATTTATTGTCTAAAAGAAATGCACTACGAAATAACTGTGTTCTCGGGCCAAGTGGTGTATTTAAACTAACCTACACAAAAACTTCAACATGTCACAATGCAAAAGTTTCAAAGTCAACAAACCATGACTGAGATGGTGGTGACAAATATCTCTATGGAAATGAGATGTGCCAATGCTAATACCACTGCATACCAAATATCCTTGACCTTCCATTAGTAGTTCCCTTTAAACAGACCTAATCAGAAACTAGTCTCGCTTTTGGATTTTGTTGAGGAAGACAAAAAATAGAAACTATTTTACAACAGACTTAAAATAAACAGTTAACAGATAATATGAAACTTTTATACATTTTACCATTTTATGCAATATAAAGATATCATTTTGTTTTCAAAGAACAAATATTTTATCAGTTACATTCTTGACTTAAAGCTGGAGAGACAAACATCAATCCCAAAAGGACCTAAACAGAACAATAAATCATTTAAGCATATGTATATATTTAACATGTTTATAAGAAATACTGTGACTATTATAAGGATCTCTGTCAACAGTAACTATTTCTCTCATTACAGACTAACTCACCTGAATTGGTGAAGGTTTTGTAAACTTCTGGTTATATATGGTGTCCAGGATGGCAGCTGCAAAAAAATGGAAATCATTACAAGTTTACATAAAATAAATCTCTTTAAAATCATATCAAAGTAATTCAATGCCATCTAGAAATCATTCATATCTTTCTGTAGTTTCTTTTTACATAGTTTAGAATTGTCACCATAATGTAACACAATGCGGGTTAGAACATTATTTAAGGTAGATTCATGGTATACCGCCATCTTGGATTGTACAATCTCAGTACACAAATGGTCTAGTTATTTGCCAAATCTGCAAATTTGGAGACAGATTTGCAATTTAATGGTTAGATTGTTATTTATATGAAGAAAACTTGGTGATTTATTGTATTATTCAAAATATTTAAACAAATATCAAATTTTGTGTTTTTTTAGAATCATTTCTTTCAAATAAGCCATTTAAGGGGAGATAACTCTTTAAGTAAAAAATATATACTGGACTGATAGGGAAATTTTTTATTTTTACATGTGGCAAGAAAACAAGTTCGGTGACACCATTTTTTCTTTTTATTTTCTTAAAACATATTATAAAACCTATCTTCTTACAATTTATTTCAAAATTCTATCTCATAGAATTTTGTTTATGCACACAAATGTGTTTTTTCATGAACAATCTAACCAAATTTAGGCAATTTTCAACGACTCATAGCTTGGAAAATAGCACGGTGACCCATACTTTTTATTATATTTTTGAAAAAAGCATAGTAAAATCTTCCTTTTGGCAAAGTATAAGAAAATTCTATTTCAAAAAGTATATACTTATGATCTACCTTAATTACATAACGACAAATGTGTAATGCATTAGCAGACTATACAGGTGGTGTTACAATTTGTTTGACAATAGTAATAAAAACCTTTGGACAATTCATCTCGTAAAGTGTATAATACAATTACAGAAGTGACCATTGACAAACTTAAGTGTATATTACTCCAGTGTAACTAATACATGTATCCTTCAGGCAAATAATAACCTTATACAAAACATGGAATCTAAAATATAACCTAATACATGTATCTGTGGACGTTTAATAACCCTGTACAATACCAGGAACACAGATATACACTATAAATACTAAGAAAGAGAGAGACAGAGAAGATTCAATCAGGTCTCCCCCCTCGTGGGTAGGCAGGAGTTCCTTTACCATCAGAATTCATAAAGTCAGGACCAAAAATATCACAAAACATGTTTAACCCCGCCACATTTTGCGCCTGTCCCAAGTCAGGAGCCTCTGGCCTCTGTTAGTCTTGTATGTTTTTAATATTAGTTCATTTATATGTTTTTGAGTTTAGTGTGACGTCCATTTTCACTGAACTAGTACACACTTTTATTTAGGGGCCAGCTGAGGACCACCTCCGGGTGCGGGATTTTCTCACTGTGTTGAAGACCCATTGGTGGCCTTCGGCTGTTGTCTGCTCTTTGGTCGGGTTGTTGTCTCTTTGACATATTCCCCATTTCCATTCTCAATTTCACTATACGATTTACGTGTCCGTGTGATGATTTGTGAACTTTCAAACATTTGAACCTTAGAAACAATCTTAAAATTGTATTTACATAATTTAATTTTGGATATAACACGTCTTCTGATTGGCTGAAATATTTTTGTCTATCAGCTCATAGACATAATTTTGTCATGTGACCGTGATGTCATCAACGTTTTTTTCATGATTTACTCTTAAAAAACGGAATTTAGAATTAAATTATAAGGAACGACTGTAATATTTTAAGAAATAACATCAAAAATGTGGTGCACACTGAATAACCTGTGTAGCGGGTTATTTATTTGTTAGTGTCAACCACATTTTTTGTTATTTCGAATAGACAGAAAAAATATTACAGTCATTCCTTAAAAAATGAATTATTTTCTTATTCTAAAAACGACTTTGTTATACATATTACAAACTTTTTTGCTGTTCACATAGCTGTTATGCCTGAAAAGCTGTATAGAAAGACAATGTCATATGGATTACACAATAGGAAATAAGAATCCCACTTAAAAAGAAACTTTATATAATCACTTTTTCAAATGTTCATAGTGATTTAGAATTTTTTACCTATCAAATCTGAATAAATAAAATCAAATTGTGCCAAGATCACAAGAAATGTTAAGTGATACCAGTACAGAGAAACTAAAACACAAGTAGCATTAAGTCACTACTTTCAAAGGAAAGATTTAAATTTCCCTCAGACCTGTCATCTATATGTGTGTTAAGCCTGGACAAGACAGATTATAACAGGTCATCTATATGTGGCATCAAAAATTAATTATCTGTCAATAGGGAGGTTGTATTCTGTAAAGTGTGTGAGTACAAAAAAGAAGATTAAACTGAGTAATCCAAAGGCTTTTTATAAAAATATTATGATAAAAGTCAGTAATCCTTGATAAATTTCACAATAACTTTTGGTAATTGTCTTTTAGACCCCTCCTTAAATCTCCTTAATCTTATTAATCAGGATAAAAATAAGATTTCAATATCACACAGATTTAGCTAGCTAGTTTTTCACAAACTACAAAATCAATGTCAGAGTACCAAACTAGCACATTTAAAATTTGAGTTGTTATTTTTCTTTTAATAAAGGCCATATTATCAACTGTCATGTCAAATTACAATAATCTTTTAGGTATTTTTTTAAAGGAACATAATTGTCAAGAAAAAATTCTGGATAAAGATGGATAGTCCGAAAGCTTTTTATAAAAATATTATGCTAAATAGTCAATAATCCTTGATAAATTTAATAATAATTTTGGGTAATTTTCATTTTTAAACCCCTTATAAACTCTTCTTAATCATATTAATAAGGATAACATTAAGATTTCAGTATCACACAGATTTAAGCTTGCTGCTTTTTCATAAATAATCTAATCAAAGTCAGATGGCCAAACTAGCACAAAAATCATTTACTTTTAAGGGACATAATTATCAAGTTTTAGTTGTTTTTTTTAATTTTTATTTTATTTTGTTATATAAAGAAACATGATTATCACATTTTAGATTTGTTTTGTTTTTTATATAAAGGGACACAATTATCACGTTTGAGTTTGTATTTTTTTATATAAAGGGACATAATTATCACATTTCAGTTTGTATTTTTACTACAGGGACATAATTACTGTAAATTCAGAAATTATTGCGTGCATTTATTATTGCGATTTTGTCATTTTAGACTAAAATGCGATTTTAATTTTAGCGATATTGAGAAAATTCTGTTTAATTCATATAAAAAATTTCAAAATGCGAGTTTAAATTATTGGGATTATAACCCATTCGCATTTTTCGCAATAATAAAAACATCGCAATAATTTCTGAATTTACAGTATCAAGTGTCACATAACAAATAACTCTTTATCATTTTAATTACTTTTTGTTAAATAAAGGTAAATCATTAAGTTTCTTTTTTCAAATAAAGGGAGATAACTAGAAAACTAACATGTCACCATGGGCCCAGTTTGCACATTTTTCTGTGAGGCACAGAAACTGTTGCATACAAAGCAATTCCTTTTTATCTATTGTCATTTTTCGTAAATTTTGACACCAGCAATACATTCAGGATCTGGAAGTGTTCTCCATAAATAAAGTTTTGTTGTTATCCAAGCACTAAGCATTTTGGCTTGCTTTTCGTAAATCATGGGCAACTAATAATTTTTGACAGAGAAACATATTAAATTTACCTTCATAGAAATCATATCAAGATGTTTCTCAAAATTTGTGATTTTTCTTCTGATAAAAACTAACTTTTTACCCCATCAATGACATTGAGAAAAAAAAATTGAAAAGCATATTATACATATATATCTTTTTTTTTAAAAAATCCTACCATCAAAAAATGTTTATTGAAATTAGTGATTTTTAATAAAATAAGATTACACCATTTCTTTGTTTTTATTTGCACCTTCAATCACCTTGAAATAACTTATTAAACCTATATATTAATTTTGTTGAAATCCTTCCCTTTTCACGAATGTGACCTACCGTATTAGACTATTTACCGGTTTTGTAATAACATAAGCAACACGACGGGTGCCACATGTGGAGCAAGATCTGCTTACCCTACCGGAGCACCTGAGATCATCCCTAGTTTTTGGTGGGGTTCGTGTTGCTTAGTCTTTAGTTTTCTATGTTGTGTCATCTGTACTATTATTTGTCTGATTGTCTTTTTATTTTTGGCCATGGCGTTGTCAGTTTGTTTTCGATCTATGAGTTTGACTGTCCCTCTGGTATCTTTCGTCCCTCTTTGAGAAGACATTTCTCCAAAAAAGTAGGGCAATAAAGCCCTTATTTAGCCCCGATATTAGTGCAAATTTTAAAGTTATCATACATTTTCCTAAATTTGACCCAACTACACTAAGATACAAGTAAAACTGAGAATGGAAATGGGGAATGTGTTAAAGAGATGACAAGCTGACCAAAGAGCAGAAAACTTCCACCAATGGGTCTTCAACACAGGGAGAAAATCCCACACCCAGAGGCGGCCTCATCTGGCCCCTAAACAAAATGTGTACTAGTTCAATGAAAATGGATGTCACACCAAACTCCAAAACATACTTATGAACTAAAATTAAAAAACATACAAGACTAACAAAGGCCAGAGGCTCTTGACTTGGGACAGGTGCAAAAAATTTTGGTATTAAGCTTCCTGTTAAAGATATAGATATCAAGATACAGTAAAGTGCAGTGTTCATTGTTAGTATTAGCTTTATTTAAAGTCAGTATTCAACTAATAAAAACAAATTTCACATATAGCGAGTTACCTTGGCAACAAACCATTTCAAAATTTGTAAATTATGTAAAATTTCTTGATTTCCTTGTTTTAGATCAGCTTTTAACATGTTTAAGTATTTTTTGAATGGAAAAGTATATGTGTACCCTAGAAACAACTTTATATTTGGAGAGATTATGTCAAAAGTTACAATAAAGCTTCTCTTTAATTATTTTGTTGTTTCTTGGCTGCGCACAATGTTTTCACAATGGAAATAATGATGGAAAATTATATTCATTCTGCAGTTGTCTTC